TCAGTTACAGGTAGTCCTGAACTTACAACCACAATTGAGTCCAAAATTTATGTTGTTAAGCGAAAAACTTGTTAAGTGAATTTTGCCCCGTTTTATGACTTTTCTTGCCACATTTGTTAATGAATCATTGCCATTGTTAAATGAGTTACACTGTTGTTAAGTGAATCTGGTTTCCCCATTGAGTTTGGTTGATAGCATGTCACAAAAGGGGATCACATGACTCCGGGACACTGCAACTGTCATAAATGTCAGTTGTCAAACATCTGAATGTAAATCACATGACCAGGGGGATGATACAACGGTCATAAGTGTGATAAATGATCATAAATCACTTTTTTCAGTGTCATCGTAACTACGGTCACCAAATTAACTATCGTAAGTTGAGGACTACCTCTAGTTCCCCTGTGCTCCAAGGACTTTGAAACATACAGTATGTTACAATGGTTCTGAAATCACATTTATTAGTTCTAGTAAAATTCTGGCTGCAATCCGTCCCGACCCAGTGATTTGAATTTGTCTAGAGCCAGCAGGTGTTCTCTTACCTTATTTTTCCATATTTTAATTTGCATTCCTAATCTGGCACTTATGATTCTGTTTTTGATAAGTTGTGTCATGTTTCCTTTTTGGCTGAAAACACATGTAAAATATCTTCTTTGTACCTTCTCCTCCCTTCTTATACTCCTGTGAATTAGGGAGGAGTCTGTCTGAGTCTCTTCTGAATAGGATCCATGTGCTGCGGACTTGGGAGATGTTTTCCCTTCACCTCTTTAGTAATGGAGTTTGCATATCTCCCAATCAGGGGTGGGTTCTATTTACCTTTACTACCGGTTTGCAATGTGCAAAAGCTTCTGTGCAGACACAGATTGTCCATCCTGACATCCGGGCAGATGGGCAAAGCCTCCCACCGCTTTTACTACCGGTTCGCAGGAACCTGACCAAACCAGGAGCAACCCACCACTGCTCCCAAGGCCATTTTCTTCAGTCTGAGCATAGGGAGGGTATTGGATAGGGTGGATATTGTGTTGGGTTAAGAGCAGGGAGGTAGAGTTTGTGTTCTCCACTCAGTCATGGAAAGTCCCCAGTGATTATCCATACAGACCACTGAGTTACATTCACTAGCAAACCTCTAGAGATGCTCCTGCACCCCAATAGTTGTAGAGAGTTTAAAGTCTTGTTGTAAGTAAACATTGACAACAAGCTGAACTGGGCCTGCATGGGCACAGGGGGAAGAATCAGACTGGAATTTCTGGACCAGTGGGTCAAAATCAGTAGTGGGTTTCAATTCTGTTCGCTAACGGTTCGCTTGTGTGCACGCAGGCTGCTTCTGTGCATGCGCAGAGACATCTGGGTGAGTGGAGCCTCTCACTCTACCACTTTGCCTGATCTGGAGCAAACCGGTAGCAACCCACCACTGGTCAAAATGTTTATATTCCCTGACCGCATCTCACAGAGCGCATAGTTGCCCTGCTGACCTTGTAGGCAGGGAGAAATAATGAGATTATCAAAAATATTCCAACGTCATGCTGTACTCTATAGGGTGCTTGCCTGTTTCTACATCTTCCTAATGTAGTGGGCCAACGGTATATAAGATGCGGTTCTGCTTTAGGTCAGGGCTGCTCAGAAAGCTGCCAATGCTTTGCTGGAATCCATTGTGCACAGTGATTATTTGCATGCTTAATATATGTTGAATCTTCAAAGTGATTGGTTGCTTTAGATAAGGCATGTTTTGGCCACAATATTCCCTTAGTTTATGCTTTTTTTTTTTTACCTCTCTTCTCCCTCATTGACTGCCAGTAAGTAATCAGGTTGCTCTCAGTGAGATGTGTGTGTGTGTGAGAGAGAGAGAGAGAGAGAGAGAGGGAGAGGAGAAAGGGAGAGGTAGGGAGGGAGGGCGGGAGAGAAAACACACTGAAGAAGGAAATGACAGTTTGTGTGTTGCTGTCAAGAAACCTGTAATAACTAATCCATTAAATCGCCAGGCATTGAGTGCCACTCCAAAAAGATTTGAGTAAACTTTTTTCTGCAGCATACTTGATGTCCTTCTTGCTTGCTTGTTGTTCTGGGAGGCTCCCACCATCAACAGTGTTTCCTCAGAGAAGTCACAGGGAACTTATAGGTGCAGGAGGAGCGAAGCAACTTTTGACTCCAATTCAAGAAGTTTGGTGGGTCCCTACAAATGATAGTATGTGTGCGCTCCTGTTGTACATCTGCTGTGGGGTATGAGATCCCTGGGAAGCAAGCTATGAAAAACATGGCTTGCTGGTCCCGTCTCATTCCTTGGGATCCCACCTGGCCCAATAAGTCCTTATGTGGGATTCAACCATGAGGATCTGGTTACTGCTTGCTACCTGTACATTGAGAAAATCTCCCTGTTCCTACGAGCAATGTGGAAGGGAAGTGTTGGACTGGATTTCTTTGAGGAATGGACTTCAGGCCAGGATCCGTTTCTAAGGAAGTTTTTATTCTGGTCAACTGAGCAGAGATAATTTCTATATAAGAATGTGTGATGACAATTTCTCAACAGAGAAAAAGGAGGAAGGTGCAATTATATTTTTCTTTTTTCGATTCCTTTCCTGCTTCTCTGTATCCATTCTTTGTTTTTGTTTGATTTATATATTTTATTAGATTAAATTTTCTAATTAAAAAAAGGAATGTGTATCAAACAAAGAGTCAGTCTTGATGCCTGGCCTTGCAGTTTCCTTGGCAAGGATTTTGTATATTTTATTAGATTAATATATTGAATTTAAAAAAGGAATGGGTATCAAACAAAGTGATACATTGTTGCATGAACATCTGTATTACCAATCTTTTTTCCAGCCCTTGGAAATGCCTTTTGGAAACATTGCTCTTACCATATACAGGCAGTCATCTCCTCTTGTTAAATCCCCTTTTCCAGCCCTGCTGGGTATGTGACTTTCTCACTTTGACCTAATGGAGACTTCTGTGTATGCAAAGTTACAGACGCACAAGGCATTTAGCATGGGTGTGCTTGGAAGCATCTCTGGGCAGCACGAATGAAGCTGGCTCCCTTTGAGCCTCTGACCCACTGATTCTCCTGGGTCTTAAATCCTTGGCAGACACAGCAAATCAGTCATAAAGTTTGGGGGATGTAGAGAGGTTTTGATCTCCACTGAGTCACACCTAAGAAAGTGCAAAATCTATACATCAGCTTTCTGCAAAGTATTGCCCTCCAAGTCTTTTGCCCAAACTGTTTGGGAATAATAAAGCTAACTCCTGTGGAGATTGGGAAGGCTGCTCAGAGCAACTCTTCCCTCTAGTGAGATTTAGGCTCTGCAAGGATGCAGACAGAAAGAATCTCTCCTATCTAGATGTGGTTTGGAAGGTGGGTGTTATTGTTATTGTTCCAGGTTTCATTATTCCATTCATAGGATGAAGCTGGAAATAATTTAGCAGCTGTGCATACAAACAAGAACTTCATAAATATTTATGGCACAACACGTCCCTAATCTTGGGAAGCTAAGTAGGTCAGGCTTCACTCTCCAAAGTTGCAAAAGTAGGTTTTGGGGAGTTATCCTGCACTCCTGTTTCTCTGCAGTTTCCTTGGCAAGGTTTTTTGTAAGCAGATTTCCCTTCAAAGACCTGAGAGGACGGGACAGGCCAAGGCCTCTGAGATGGCTTTGTGCCTAAAACAGGACCGGAAATGAGCGTCTCTCAGGCTGTAGCCTGGTGACCACCAAACTGAGCTTTCTTCCTCCCCAAAAAATCTATCCATGCAGCTGTTCCTGCTACTCCAGCCCTAAATTCAAGGCTCCAGTTTTCAAGATCCAGTATCTTCCAAATATAACACCTACTTTCCACCTTTCAATCTGAGCTTCAACTTTTAATTCTGAGGAAATGGACTGTTCGTCTGAGTAGGGACTTATGGCTTTTGACCTCGCTCTATAGACCATCCCCTCTGACTCTTAGATCGGCTTCATTTAATTTTGCTTGATTATCTACTGTACAACTTTTTTCTCACATCTCCCCACCAAGGGGGGAGAACCACAAAAGTATCAGTCCCTTGGTGCTGCTCTCAGGCCCCAGCTGTCAAGTCTTAACAAGGAGGCCCCTAAAAACAAAGGAGATCACAGCAGGAGTTGTGAATAAACCTGGAGATCCTGTGCTGAAAACCACAATCCTTTTTCTCCTCAACTCAGTATTTCTACAGCTCTTCTTCATGAAGGTCACCTGCAGGGCAGAACAGCCTTTACATCTGAAATTTTACACTGGTTTTGTCACTGCCCCAAACTCCCCCAAAATATTTGCTATTTATGTGGTTTCTTCCACTTGCGTGCCTCATTCTTGACACAATCTGAAAAGACATGCTTCGTGCGCTGAATTCCTGGAACAGTTAGGAAAAGATGAACTTTGAATCCCTCCACTCTACGCTCACTTTCTCCTCATAAGAGCCATGGTGCCGCAGTTTGGCAGCTCAATTCCCACCGGCTCAAGATTGACTTGGCTTTCTATCCTTCCGAGGTCGGTAAAATGAGGACCCAGATGGTTGGGGGCAATATGCTGACTATGTAAACCACTTGAGAGGGCTATAAAGCACTGTGAAGCGGTAAATAAGTCAAGGTGCTATTTCTATTATATGAGGAGCCACAATCTCTAACTATAGTCTGAGTGCTCCTATCCCAAAGAGATGCTGGCTGGGGGAATTCTGGGGCTGAAAATCTCGGGGGCACCCAGGGAGAAAAAGGCTGGGACTATGCCTGTGGCATTTCTATCATCTACCATGATAAAAATGCAAAGAACACTCCCAAAAAGATTTTTACATAATTGCACAATTTCTGCAAAAATAAATATTCAGCAACTTCTGCTGCTGATGGCCAGATAGCCTTTATCAAACTAGTATGTTCTAATTTTTTCTTTCTTCCTTTCTGACTAATATCATGACATATTTGCCTACAAAAAATCAGGCAAATTCTTTGTAGTCAAATTAAATAGTCAATTTCTCAGCTGGACTTACAATGTGACATTAGAAATGAAATTCAAACTCTGTCTACACTCATTACTTTGGGCCTCATGTGGATTTTCTTGTGTACGATAAGGTTGGAAGGTTTCCTGAAGCATCATGCACACTCGGGGCACTTAAATGGTTTTTCCCGTGTGTATGATTTAGAAGGCTATCCTTAGTACTGAAATCTTTCCCACAGTCTGGACACTCATATGGTTTCTCTCCTGTGTGAGTTCTCCGGTGTCTAACCAAGCTAGAATTTTCACTGAAAGATTTCCCACAATCAGGACATTCAAATGGTTTCTCTCCTGTGTGAATCCTCTGGTGTCTAACCCAGCTGGAATTATCACTGAAACATTTCCCACAATCAGGACATTCAAAGGGTTTCTCTCCTGTGTGAGTTCTCTGGTGTCTAATCCAGCTGGAATTATCACTGAAACATTTCCCACAATCAGGACATTCAAAGGGTTTCTCTCCTGTATGAATCCTCTGGTGTTTAACGAGGCTGGAAATCTGACGGAAACTTTTCCCACAATCAGGACATTCAAAGGGTTTCACTCCTGTGTGAATCCTTTGGTGTTGAACCAGGCTGGAATTCTGACTGAAACATTTCCCACAGTCAGGACATTCAAAGGGTTTCTCTCCTGTGTGAATCCTCTGGTGGCCAATGAGGGTGGAATTCCGACTGAAACTTTTCCCACAGTCAGGACATTCAAAAGGTTTCTCTCCTGTGTGAGTCCTCTGGTGTTGAACCAAGCTGGAATCATCACTGAAACATTTCCCACAATCAGGACATTCAAAGGGTTTCACTCCTGTGTGAATCCTCTGGTGTTTAACCAGGCTGGAATTCTGACTGAAACTTTTCCCACAATCAGGACATTCAAAGGGTTTCACTCCTGTGTGAATCCTCTGGTGGCCAATAAGGTTGGAATATTGACTGAAACTTTTCCCACAGTCAGGACATTCAAAGGGTTTCTCTCCTGTGTGAATCCTCTGGTGGCCAATGAGGTTGGAATTCCGACTGAAACTTTTCCCACAGTCAGGACATTCAAAGGGTTTCACTCCTGTGTGAATCCTCTGGTGTTTAACCAGGCTGGAATTCCGACTGAAACTTTTCCTGCAATCAGGACATTCAAAGGGTTTCTCTCCTGTGTGAATCCTCTGGTGTTTAACCAGGATGCAATTCTGACTGAAACGTTTCCCACAATCAGGACATTCAAAGGGTTTCACTCCTGTGTGAATCCTCTGGTGGCCAATGAGGTTGCAATTTTGACTGAAACTTTTCCCACAGTCAGGACATTCAAAGGGTTTCTCTCCTGTGTGAATCCTCTGGTGGCCAATGAGGTTGGAATTTTGACTGAAACTTTTCCCACAGTCAGGACATTCAAAGGGTTTCTCTCCTGTGTGAATCCTCTGGTGTTGAACCAAGCTGGAATTCTGAACGAAACATTTCCCACAATCAGGACATTCAAATGGTTTCTCTCCTGTGTGAGTTCTCTGGTGTTTAACCAGGCTGGAATTATCACTGAAACATTTCCCACAATCAGGACATTCAAAGGGTTTCACTCCTGTGTGAATCCTCTGGTGTTTAACCAGGCTGGAATTCTGACTGAAACATTTCCCACAATCAGGACATTCAAAGGGTTTCTCTCCTGTGTGAATCCTCTGGTGGCCAATGAGGTTGGAATTTTGACTGAAACTTTTCCCACAATCAGGACATTCAAATGGTTTCTCTCCTGTGTGAGTCCTCTGGTGGCCAATGAGGTTGGAATTTTGACTGAAACATTTCCCACAATCAGGACATTCAAATGGTTTCTCTCCTGTGTGAGTCCTCTGGTGTGTCACCAGGTTGTAATTGTTACTGAAACATTTCTCACAATTAGGACATTCAAACAGTTTCTCCTTGATGTGAGTCCACGTTGCCATGCTTGCTAAAGCATTTACCGCATTGGGAACATTTGTAGGGCTTCTCTCTTGTGTGGGGCCTTCCATGAAGGAAAATGAAGTTGTTCTGACCAAAGCTTTTGCCACATTCAGAGTATTTGTATGGTTTTTCTCCAGTCTGGATCCCCTCTGGCATAATCAGCTGTGATTTGCAAGTTCTATCTTTCCCAGAACAGAAACGTCTATGGAGCTTTTCCACAACTAATATTCTTGAGGTAGTCAAAAATATGGATAATCCCTTTAGTGCTGCTTTGATTTATTGGTGATTTTCTTCCTCCCAGAGCGAGGCCTTCAACACTGTCTGCTCTACGTGGCTTCCTCCCCAGTTACTTCCAGATATTTCCCTCTTTTCCTGAATGGAAAAACAATCTCCCTTGACTTTTCATGCAATGTATGCTTTAATTTCACACTCTATTTTTCCAGTTAGAAATCTCTTCTTGATTTTCTCTCATTTCTCTCTCACCTGCTGGGGGACTCTCTGAAGGAAATGGAAAATATTTTGATTTCTGGACTGACTTGTTTTGCTATTCAAAGTTGTTTGTTATCCTCAGTTGTCCAGAGTGCTCATTGCCATCTTCTTTGTCTATAAGATTCAAATAAAAGTGTATCTTTAATTGTGCATAAAATGGTTGCAGAAGATGAGAAAAGAAGAAAAAAGTTTACATTATAATGAAAAAGCAAACATGCCACAATGCTCCAATAACCTCTTACATTGATCATGATTCAATTGACACATGGAAGACCACCCAGATCCAAGTTCAAATATCCATTCAATGATTCTAATTCGATTGTTGACTTCAGTCAATCACAAATTCTTAGCAATGCAAAGGGTTGTTTTCAAATACAATCAATTGAAAAAGAAACTACACCTGCTTTGATTTCTTGTGGTTTTACTTATCAGGGTATCATAAATATCATTGCAACAGAACAGAAGAGAATAACAGAATTGGAAGGGACCTTGGAGGTCACCCTATATCATTTCAGACAAATGGCTGTCTCATCTCTTCTGAAAAGCCTCCAGTGATGGAGCACCACAACTTCTGAAGGCCAGCTGTTCTGCTGGTTAATTGTTCTCACCATTAGGAAATTTCTCACTGCTTCCATAGTATAAAGAGGGGAAGTAGCAGCCACGTACTGCTAATAAAATGCCCTTCATCAATTGATCATCAGCAAGTATGATTACATCTATCTCTGACACTGAGTTGTGTGTTAACACACAACAAACCTCAATGAACTGAAGCAATGTTGTAAAAAAGACTGGGCCAAAATTCCTCCACAACACTGCAAGAGACTGATAAAGTCACACAGAAAAGAATTACTTCTAGTTGTTGCTACTAAAGGTGGTTCTACAAATTATTGAATCATACATTTTTCATACATGACTTCACCGTTTTGGCTTCCTTTTTATAAAATAAATGATGACCTGATTTAATATTTCATGTGTTGTTGTTCATCTACGGTTGTATTTACCTACTTTTAAGAACTTCTAAGGACCAATTGATTTTTACTATGCCTTGATACGTAAAATCATAAAAGTCAAGGAGAGTATACTTTCTTTTTCACATGACTGTTTATCTGGAGGTCCTGGGGATAGATTATACATTTGCACGTATGTACATTCAGAAATAAAAATATACACACCTACAATATGAAGATAATTCATGTCTTTGAAGACTGAAAAACATCTGAAACCTTCTGAGCTATTGTTAATCAGGAATTGGATGAATTGGATGATTGCTCATATGTTGAGATGGCAAGGCTGAAGTTCAGGCCTCAAAAGGCTTTTGAAGCCATGGAAAATTTCACAGGAAACACTAGCCTATGGGTTAGGCACGTGACCAAAACCACAGAAGGCAAACTTGACTATTTTTATTATTTCTATATCTTCTCTGTCATGTGCCAACTGCCTCTTATGTAATGAAGCGAAAGCAAAGAAATGTATAAATATCTGCCTTTCACTACGCTCAGGGTTCCTTCCTTCTTAGGAGGATGAAGAAATGCATTGGCTTATCAACACACACACACACACTTGGACTCTGTCTCTTATTTCACTGAGCCATATCTGTCAATCGCAGTTATGTCACGGTAAGGTTGGTGGCCAATACATTTTATAAATAAATACACCTGGACAGTCAAAACATTCAATAGGTATTTTTTAAAAAGTGCTGGGTTAAGCACAGTGGAGCCTGGGGGGGCACCAATAGGAAACACATACTTGTTAGCTAGAAATGGAAGTAGAACAAAAGAAGAACAACCCAAAAAAGACCAGAGGCAAATAAATCCGAACTTGCTGCCCACAAAACATCAGGTCCATAAGAGAAGAATTGAGTTGGGGGACCTTGGAGGTCTTCTAGTCCATCCCCTGTTCAGGCAGGAGACCCTATTCCATCCAGAACAAATGGCTGCCCAATCGCCCCTCAAAACCCTCCAGGGACGGAGCAGCCACAACCTCTGGAGGGAAGCCATTCCCAAAGAACCAACCTCCACTTGAAAGAGGCTTTTTCAAGCTTCCCACCAGCAGAAATTGCAGCCCCCAGTTTCCCAGCCTGCAGCACCAGTGGGCTTCCATTTGGGGAGGGAAGGAACCTGCAGCAGCCGCAGCTGAGAGGCTTCAGCCCAGTTGCTTCTCCGCTTCCAGCCCAAGTTGCTCCCGGACTCTCCTCCCACCTGCTGCCCTCCACTCACCTCCAGCTGCTGCTCCGACCCTGGGAAGAGCACAAAAGCCGCTCTGCACTCCACTTTCCTCCCATCAGTCATCCGGAAGAGGAAGTTCCTCTGCGCCTCTCCTGTCCTCCCAGCCTTTCTAGCAATGCAGTGTTGATGGCTTTCTAGGCACAGATCTTGCCTGACCGCCATCTAGGGACAGGAGGTGGAAAAACATGCTTCTCCAATCTCCATCAAGGTTTAGATGTTTCCAGTGATTACATTGCAGCAGGTACAAGGGTGGGTTCTAATTTTTTTTACTACCTGTTCTGTGGGCGTGGCTTATTTTGTGGGCGTGGCCTGGAGGTCATGTGACAGGGTGGGCGTGGCTAGCTTGTCATGTGACTGAGTGGCCATGGCTATGTGTATAGGGACTACTCAGAGCGCTGAAAAAAGTCATTTCTGACGGGTCCTAGCATTTTTAATTGGTCCTCACACTTATGACCATCCTCACATTTATGCCCATGCAGCATTATTAACTACCATGTCACTCATTTCACAAGTGCTTCTCTTCACCATGGTGATAAGATAGGGCAAAAAATATAAAATGTGAGGACAGTCGTAAATTCGAGGACTGGTCAAAAGTGCGAGGACCAGTCAAAAATAACTTTTTCAGCCCACTGAGTAGTCCATATGCATAAAAGGATACAGCAATAGAGAGGGATGAAGGAAGGGAAATTAGAGTAGGAGTGAGGGTAAGAGAGGGAGGAAGAGAGAAGGAGAAGGAGAAAGGAAGAGGAAGTAGGGAGGAGAAGAAGAGGGGGAGAAAGAAAGTAAGAAGGAAAGAAAAGAGAGAGGTGGTAGGTTTGAGGAGAAAAATTGCTGTACAATAAAAAAGGGAAAGGGAAGAAAGCCAACCCCAAACAAATATAAAGATATTAAGATAAAGAATGAATTGGTAAATTTTAAAGAATAAAAGAGAACAAATATGAATAAATAGCAATAATTAGAAACACACATACAAATATACAATGTATTTTCTTTGAACCTTGAGCCTTGGAGAGATTCGAACCAGCAGTAAATTGCAGGCAGCTGTGTTAATAACAGGGTGCTTTAAACCACTGTAGTACCAAGGCTCTTAAATTAACAAATTTACAATTTCTTTATTTCCTTTTTGCCATATTTATTCCTCATCTATTTTTTTAAAAAACCAATATTACCCTTCATCCTCATCTTTAATCTTAATCAAATTCAATTTTTCCCTTCTATTCTATATTATAACCCTTCCCATTGTCATCTATTTTTATATCCATCCTCACATTGGTTAATTATGTAATTATGTAATACAGTTGTTTAATACAAATTCAACATTTTAATATAAATCAATTAGTTATATAACTACCTTTTTTTTATATTAATCAATATGAACATGAATATTCCAATTATTTCCATGCAATCCAATTTCTTACAAATCAATTAATTATATTTACCAATAATAATAAACCAAATAATTTCCCCCATATATTCCTCCAAACCACAACTTAACCATTTCTGCTTTCAACACAATATACAATTAATAGTATCTCAATTATTACAATTCCCTAGTTAAATAGAGCTTTTTTTCTTTTGTATTTTAAAATCTTGAACTCTTCTCTTTTGCCCTAAATTTCCCATTGTTTGCAGTTTTGCACCTACCTTTTTTGGTGAGGAAAAAGAAAAAGAAATCTCTCTCTGCCTCATTTTGTCACCTTGCAGCAAACATCCTGCTTTACTTTCAGTTTTGTTTTTTCAGCATAGCTAGGGGGAAAAAAATCTGCTCCAGCACTCTGCAGCTAGCAACAGAGCCCTGCCTACCTAAAACAGATGAGAGCAAATCAGCTGAGAGTCAGGAGGCTGACCTAATCAACTTGTACTAATTAACCTATGCTGAAGCTGTAAGGGGCTGTTTTTTCTATTTTTGCAGGCACCAGTCTACTCATTTGTTTTCTTTCAACACTGATCAGCTTTGAAGCCCCGCAGCAAGAGTTTAAACAGTTTTTTTCCCTCTAGCCATCAGCTGGGACTCAGGAGGCAGCAATAGATTGGGAGTGGGCAGGGTAAGCGAATGGTGACCGGGCCGGGAAACGGTTCGGGGGCGTGGCCAGCCAATCTTATTATAGGTTCTCCGAACTATTAAATTTTTTTACTACCGGTTCTTGCGAACTGGTGTGAACCGGGAGCAACTCACCACTGAGCAGGTAGTTTTCGACTCCTAGCAACCGACCTTTGCAACTGAGCCAAGTGAAAAAGTGAAATGTGATGCTACTTAGCTTCGTTTTTGGTGCCTTTGGGTCAGTCTTGATGGCTGGCCTTGGCAAGGGTTTTTGGAAGTGGTTCCCCCCCTTTCCTGCTTCCAAGGGCTGAGAGGACTGGCCAAAGTTGAACAGATGGTTTTGCCCTTCAGGTGGGACTGGAACTGAGCGTTTCTCTGTCTCTAACCTGGTGCCTTCACCAGTACACCAAACTGGAACTTCTTCCTCCTCACAAAACATACCCATTGATCTGTTCCTGCTGTGCCCACAAGCCAATTCAAGGCTGCAGCTGTCAAGATCAATCAATCAGGACAGAGTTAGAAGGAACCATGGAGGTCTTCTGTTCCAACCCCCTACTCAAGCAGGAGACTCTATACCCATGATGGCGAACCTATGGTACCGCGCGCATATGCCGGCTCAGTTCTGGGGCGTACGTGCGCACCGGCCAGTGATTTTCGGGCCTTCTGGCCGCACCAGAAGTAGAGAAACAGGCTGTTTCCTGCCTCTGGAGGGCCTGGGGGGGTGGGGAAGGCCCGTTTTTCTTTCTTACCTGGCTCCAGATCCTCTCTATGCATCTGGGGAGGGCGAAAACAGCCTTCCCCACTCCCTTGGATGCCTGAAAGGCTCCATTTCCTGACTCCCGGTGGGACAGGAAGTGACACTTTTTGCTGTCCCCAGCCTCCAGAGATTCCTAGAGAGGCTCCTAGAGACTCCTAGAGAGGCTGGGGACAGCAAAAAATGTCACTTCCTATCCCATCGGGAGTTGGGAAATGGGCTGTTTCAGGCCTTTGGAGGGCCTACAAGAGAGGAGAAAGGCAGGTTTTGCCCTTCGGAAATAAATAGAGGGGATCTAGAACCAGGTAAGAAAGAAAAATGGGCCTACCAGGCCATCATGTGCCAGGAGTGGGAGGGGGGAGGGGGTTGCGCGCGCATGCACATGAGCACGTGCGTGCGCAACCCTCCTCGCCCCCCGTCTCCTGACATACGATGGCAAAAAGGTTAGCCATCAGTGCTCTATACCATTTCAGACAAGTGACTATCCAATCTATTTTTTAAAACTTCCAGTGATGAAGCACCCACAACTTCTGAAGGCAAGCTGAAGGCGCTTATTAATTCACACTGTAAGTTTCCAGGTTGCTTCTCTCCTTCCTTAGTTCCCATCCATTGTTCCATGTCTTGCCTTCTAGTGTTTAGGAAGATAACTTGAGACCCTCCTCTCTGTGGCAGCCACTCAAATATTGGAAGACTGCTATCATGCCTCCCCTTGTCCTTTTCATTAGACTAGACGAGGGGTGTCAAACTCAAGGGCTGGTGGCCGGCTGCAGCCCTCCCGAGCTCAGTTTTTCCTGGAAGAGGTTTGCAGGAAGCCATCGCAACCAAAAACAGCTTGGGAGCCAGTTTTCTCTGGCAGAGCGCTTGGGCCACCAGAGGCGCCCCCAACGTGAGTGATATCGATCTGGCCACGCCCAACCTGGCCATGCCCACTCCGGCCCCCAGAGGTCAAACACAACCCTGATGTGGGCCTCAATGAAATCGAGTTTGACACCCCTGGACTAGACATACCCAATTCCTGTAACTGTTCTTTGTATGTTTTAGCTTCCAGTCCCCTAATCATCTTTGTTGCTCTTCTCTGCATGCTTTCCAGGGTCCCAATATCTTTTTATATTGTGGTGACTAGAATTGGATGCAGTATTCCAAGTGCATTTTAGGTAAGAAAAACCAAAAGTACACATATAAACTGGGGGAAACCAGGCTTAATAGCAGTGACTGTGAGAGGAATCTTAGAGTCTCAGCTGAATATGAGCTAGCAGTGTGCAGCGGCAGCTAAAAAAGCCAATGCAATCCTAAATTGCATTAACAGAGGGATGCAATCAAGATCAAGTGAGGTACCACTCTATAAAGCCTTAATAAGACCACACCTAGAGTATTGCATCCAGTTTTGGTCACCACACTATAAAAAAGATGTTGAGACCAGGGGTGGGTTCTAAAAATTTTTACTACCAGTTCTGTGGGCATGGCTTATTTTGTGGGCGTGGCTTGGTGGAGGGGTGGGCGTGGCCAACTTTTTTTTTTTTTAACTTTTAAAAGTATTTTTTCTAAAACTTTAAGAAAGGTTGCAGAAAACAATGCTTTGAAAAACCTCTGTCGATCAGGCAACTCAGCTGGGATCGTCAGAGGCTTTTTAAAACACTTTTTTTTACCACCTCTTCGGCGGAAGAGTTTGTAGAAAAAATGCTTTTAAAAGTAAAAAAAAAAAAAAGCCTCTGATGAGGTGGGTGGGGTAAGTGAGCAGCGACCAGGTCGGGGGCATGGCCAGCCAGTGTTATTACTGGTTCTCAGAACAACTACAAATTTTTACTACCAGTTCTTGCGAATCGGGAGCAATTCACCACTAGTTGAGACTCTAGAAAAAGTGCAGAGGGGAGCAACCAGGATGATTAGGGGACTGGAGACTAAAACATATGAGGAACGGTTTCAGGAACTGGGCATGGCGAGTCTAGTGAAGAGAAGGACCAGGGGAGACATGATAGCAGTCTTCCAATATTTGAGGGGCTGCTACAGAGAGGAGGGGGTCAAGCTATTTTCCAAAACACCTGAAGGCCAGACAAGGAATAATGGATGGAAACTGACCAAAGAGAGATTCAACCTAGAAATGAGGAGGAACTTTCTGACAGTGAGAACAATCAACCAATGGAACAGCTTGCCTTCGGAAGTTGTGGCAGCTTCATCACTCGAGAGTTTCAAGAAAAGATTGGACTGCCATTTGTCAGATATGGTATAGGGCCTCCTGCTTGAGCGGGGGGTTGGACTAGATGACCTATAAGGTCCCTTCCAACTCTGTTAATCTGATCTGATCTGATCTGAACTGTTGGCTCACATTTAAGTGACTATACACTACGACTCCAAAATCCCTCTCACAGTTATGGGAATTAAACCAGGTTTCACCTAGTTTATTTATACCTATGCAATTGGTTTTTCTTGTCTAAGTGTAAAACTTTATTTTTATATTTGTTGAATATCATTTTGTTAGATAGGGGCCACTATTCAAGTTCACATTTTTTTAGCTTGCCAAGAAGTGGGTTGTGATCTACTTAATCAAATGCTTTACTGAAAACTAAGTATACCATGTCCTCAGCATTTCTCTGGTCCACTAATTTAGTCACTTTGCCAAATAATAAAATAAGGTTTGTTTGGCATGATCTCTTTTTGATCAACCCAGGGGTGAAATGCTATCAGTTCACACCACTTTGGGCAAACCGGTAGGGATAAAAACTACCGGTTCAGGTGAACCACTTGTAATAAAAACTACCGGTTCCTCTGAACTGGTATTTCCGATGATCAGCTGTGCCACACGGCGAATCTAAATCACGCGACATAGCTGTTTCCCCCCCTCACTGTTCTACTTACCTTGTGAAGTCTTTTTCCGCGCGAAGTGTGCGTGTGATGCACCATGCGCATGCACAGGCAGTGAACCGGTGGCAATACACGGAGGATTTCACCACTGGATCAACCCATGTTGGCTAATGGTTATAACTTGTTTGCTTCTAGGTGTTCACAGATTTGTTGCTTGGATATGTTTTCCAAGATATTACCAGATATTAATGTCAGGCTGATTTGTCTGTAAATTCCTGCATGTTTTTTTCCTGTTTGAAGATGGAGACCCTATCAACTCTTTTCCAGTCCTCAGTTACAGGTAATCCTGAACTTACAACCACAATTGAGTCCAAAATTTATGTTAAGCGAAAAACTTGTTAAGTGAATTTTGCCCCATTTTATGACTTTTCTTGCCACATTTGTTAATGAATCATTGCCATTGTTAAATGAGTTACACTGTTGTTAAGTGAATCTGGTTTCCCCATTGAGTTTGGTTGATAGCATGTCACAAAAGGGGATCGCATGACTCCGGGACACTACAACTGTCATAAATGTCACTTGTCAAACATCTGAATGTAAATCACATGACCAGGGGGATGCTACAACGGTCATAAGTGTGATAAATGATCATAAATCACTTTTTTCAGTGTCATTGTAACTACGGTCACCAAATTAACTATTGTAAGTTGAGGACTACCTCTAGTTCCCCCTTCTCCAAGGACTTTGAAACATACAGTATGTTACAATGGTTCTGAAATCACATTTATTAGTTCCAGTAAAATTCTGGCTGCAGTCCATCCCGACCCAGTGATTTGAATTTGTCTAGAGCCAGCAGGTGTTCTCTTACCTTATTTTTCCATATTTTAATTTGCATTCCTAATCTGGCACTTATGATTCTGTTTTTGATAAGTTGTGTCATGTTTTCTTTTTGGGTGAAAACACATGTAAAGTATCTTCTTTGTACCTTCTGCCCCCTTCTTATACTCCTGTGAATTAGGGAGGAGTCTGTCTGAGTCTCTTCTGAATAGGATCCATGTGCTGCGGACTTGGGAGATGTTTCCCCTTCACCTCTTTAGTAATGGAGTTTGCATATCTCCCAAGCAGGGGTGGGTTCTATTTACCTTTACTACCGGTTTGCAATGTGCAAAAGCTTCTGTGCAGACACAGATTGTCCATCATGACATCCGGGCAGATGGGCGGAGCCTCCCGCCGCTTTTACTACCGGTTCGCAGGAACCGGACCAAACCAGGAGCAACCCACCACTGCTCCCAAGGCCATTTTCTTCAGTCTGAGCATAGGGAGGGCATTGGATAGGGTGGATATTGTGCTGGGTTAAGAGCAGGGAGGTAGAGTTTGTGTTCTCCACTCAGTCATGGAAAGTCCCGTGATTATCCATACAGACCACTGAGTTACATTCACTAGGAAACCTCTAGAGATGCTCCTGGCCCAATAGTTGTAGAGAGCTTAAAGTCTTGTTGTAAGTAAACATTGACAACAAGCTGAACTGGGCCTGCATGGGCACAGGGGGAAGAATCAGACTGGAATTTCTGGACCAGTGGGTCAAAATCAGTAGTGGGTTTCAATTCTGTTCGCTAACGGTTCGCTTGTGCGCACGCAGGCTGCTTCTGTGCATGCGCAGAGACGTCCGGGTGAGTGGAGCCTCTTGCTCTACCACTTTGCCTGATCTGGAGCAAACCGGTAGCAACCCACCACTGGTCAAAATGTTTATATTCCCTGACCGTATCTCACAGAGCGCATAGTTGCCCTGCTGACCTTGTAGGCAGGGAGAAATAATGAGATTATCAAAAATATTCCAACGTCATGCTGTACTCTATAGGGTGCTTGCCTGTTTCTACATCTTTCTAATGTAGTGGGCCAACAGTATATATAACCTGCGGTTCTGCTTTAGGTCAGGGCTGCTCAGAAAGCTGCCAATGCTTTGCTGGAATCCATTGTGCACAGTGATTGTTTGCATGCTTAATATATGTTGAATCTTCAGTGATTGGTTGCTTTAGATGAGGCATGTTTTGGCCACAATATTCCCTTACTTTATGCTTTTTTTTTACCTCTCTTCTCCCCCATTGACTGCCAGGAAGTAATCAGGTTGCTCTCAGTGAGATGTGTGTGTCTGTGTGTGTGAGAGAGAGAGAGAGAGAGAGGGAGGGAGGGGGGGAGAGAAAACACACTGAAGAAGGAAATGACAGTTTGTGTGTTGCTGTCAAGAAACCTGTAATAACTAATCCATTAAATCGCCAGGCATTGAGTGCCACTCCAAAAAGATTTGAGTAAACTTTTTTCTGCAGCATACTTGATGTCCTTCTTGCTTGCTTGTTGTTCTGGAAGGCTCCCACCAACAACAGTGTTTCCTCAGAGAAGTCACAGGGAATTTATAGGTGCAGGAGGAGGGAAGCAACTTTTGACTCCAATTCAAGAAGTTTGGTGGATCCCTACAAACTATAGTGAGTCTGTATGTGTGTGCTCCTGTTGTACATCTGCTGTGGGGTATGAGATCCCTGGGAAGCAAGCTATGAAAAACATGGCTTGCTGGTCCCGTCTCATTCCTTGGGATCCCACCTGGCCCAATAAGTCCTTATGTGGGATTCAACCATGAGGATCCGGTTACTGCTTGCTACCTGTACATTGAGAAAATCTCCCTGTTCCTACGAGCAATGTGGAAGGGAAATGTTGAACTGGATTTCTCTGAGGAATGGACTTCAGGCCAGGATCCGTTTCCAAGGAAGTTTTTATTCTGGTCAACTGAGCAGAAATAATTTCTATATAAGAATGTGTGATGACAATTTCTCAGCAGAGAAAAAGGAGGAAGTAGGAAGGTGTAATTATATTTTTCTTTTCTTGATTCCTTTCCTGCTTCCCTGTATCCATTCTTTGTTTTTGTTTGATTTATATATTAGATTAAATTTTCTAATTAAAAAAAGGAATATGTATCAAACAAAGAGTCAGCCTTTTCCTTGGCAAGGATTTTGTATATTTTATTAGATTAATATATTGAATTTAAAAAAGGAATGGGTATCAAACAAAGAGTGGTACATTGTTGCATGAACATCTGTATTACCAATCTTTTTTCCAGCCCTTGGAAATGCCTTTTGGAAACATTGCTCTTACCATATACAGGCAGTCATCTCCTCTTGTTAAACCCCCTTTTCCAGCCCTGCTGGGTATGTGACTTTCTCACTTTGACCTAATGGAGACTTCTGTGTATGCAAAGTTACAGACGCACAAGGCATTTAGCATGGGTGTGCTTGGAAGCATCTCTGGGCAGCAGGAATGAAGCTGGCTCCCTTTGAGCCTCTGACCCACTGATTCTCCTGGGTCTTAAATCCTTGGCAGACACAGGAAATCAGTCATAAAGTTTGGGGGATGTAGAGAGGTTTTGATCTCCACTGAGTCACCCCTAAGAAAGTGCAGAAACCCATCAGCTTTCTGCAAAGTATTGCCCTCCAAGGCTTTTGCCCAAACTGTTTGGGAATAATAAAGCTAACTCCTGTGGAGATTGGGAAGGCTGCTCAGAGCAAGTCTTCCCCCAAGTGAGATTTAGGCTCTGCAAGGATGCAGACAGAAAGAATCTCTCCTATCTAGATGTGGTTTGGAAGGTGGGTGTTATTGTTCCAGGTTTCATTATTCTATTCATAGGATGAAGCTGGAAATAATTTAGCAGCTGTGCATACAAACAAGAACTTCATAAATATTTATGGCACAACACGTCTTTAATCTTGGGAAGCTAAGTAGGTCAGGCTTCACTCTCCAAAGTTGCAAAAGTAGGTTTTGGGGAGTTATCCTGCACTCCCGTTTCTCTGCAGTTTCCTTGGCAAGATTTTTTGTAAGCAGATTTCCCTTCAAAGACCTGAGAGGACGGGAAAGGCCAAGGCCTCTGAGATGGCTTTTCCCTTTTCTCCTCAACTATTTCTACAGCTCTTCTTCATGAAGGTCACCTGCAGGGCAGAACAGCCTTTACATCTGAAATTTTACACTGGTTTTGTCACTGCCCCAAACTCCCCCAAAATATTTGCTATTTATGTGGTTTCTTCCACTTGCGTGCCTCATTCTTGACACAATCTGAAAAGACATGCTTCGTGCGCTGAATTCCTGGAACAGTTAGGAAAAGATGAACTTTGAATCCCTCCACTCTACGCTCACTTTCTCCTCATAAGAGCCATGGTGGCACAGTTTGGCAGCTCAATTCCCACCGGCTCAAGGTTGACTTGGCTTTCTATCCTTCCGAGGTCGGTAAAATGAGGACCCAGATTGTTGGGGGCAATATGCTGACTATGTAAACCACTTAGAGAGGGCTATAAAGCACTGTGAAGCGGTAAATAAGTCAAAGTGCTATTGCTATTATATGAGGAGCCACAATCTCTAACTATAGTCTGAGTGCTCCTATCCCAAAGAGATGCTGGCTGGGGGAATTCTGGGGCTGAAAATCTCAGGGGCACCCAGGGAGAAAAAGGCTGGGACTATGCCTGTGGCATTTCTATCATCTACCATGATAAAAATGCAAAGAACACTCCCAAAAAGATTTTCACATAATTGCACAATTTCTGCAAAAATAAATATTCAGCAACTTCTGCTGCTGATGGCCAGATAGCCTTTATCAAACTAGTATGTTCCAATTTTTTCTTTCTTCCTTTCTGACTAATATCATGACATATTTGCCTACAAAAAAATCAGGCAAATTCTTTGTAGTCAAATTAAATAGTCAATTTCTCAGCTGGACTTACAATGTGACATTAGAAATGAAATTCAAACTCTGTCTACACTCATTACTTTGGGCCTCATGTGGATTTTCTTGTGTACAATAAGGTTGGAAGGTTTCCTGAAGCATCATGCACACTCAGGGCACTTAAATGGTTTTTCCCCTGTGTGTATGATTTAGAAGGCTATCCTTAGTACTGAAATCTTTCCCACAGTCTGGACACTCATATGTTTTCTCTCCTGTGTGAGTTCTCCGGTGTCTAACCAAGCTAGAATTTTCACTGAAACGTTTTCCACAATCAGGACATTCAAATGGTTTCTCTCCTGTATGAGTCCTCTGGTGTCTAACCCAGCTGGAATTATCACTGAAACATTTCCCACAATCAGGACATTCAAAGGGTTTCTCTCCTGTGTGAGTTCTCTGGTGTCTCACCAGATGGAAATTTTGACCGAAACTTTTCCCACAATCAGGACATTCAAATGGTTTCTCTCCTGTATGAGTCCTCTGGTGTCTAACCCAGCCGGAATTATCACTGAAACCTTTCCCACAATCAGGACATTCAAAGGGTTTCTCTCCTGTGTGAGTCCTCTGATGAGTCACCAGGTTTGAATTCTGACTGAAACCTTTCCCACAATCAGGACATTCAAAGGGCCTTTCTCCTGTGTGAATCCTCTGGTGTGTCACCAGGCTGGAATTGTCACTGAAACATTTCCCACAATCAGGACATTCAAAGGGCTTCTCTCCTGTGTGAGTCCTCTGATGAGTCACCAGGTGGGAATTTTGACTGAAACCTTTCCCACAATCAGGACATTCAAAGGGCCTTTCTCCTGTGTGAATCCTCTGGTGTCTCACCAAACCAGAATTCCGAATGAAACTTATTCCACAATCTGGACACTCATATGGTTTCTCTCCTGTGTGAGTCTTCTGGTGTATCACCATTTTGGAATTCTGACTGAAACATTTCCCACAGATAGCACATTCAAAGGGTTTATCTCCTTTATGAGTCCTCTGTTGTCTCATGAGTGGGAATTTCCAATGAAACTTTCACACAAATTGGACATTCGTATGTTTTCTATCTGGTATTCTATCTAATGTATCATCATGTCGCCATGTCACTAAAGTATTTACCACATTTGGAGCCCTTGTATTTCTTCTCTCCTGTCTGGGTCCTTCCATGAACCACAAGGAAGCTGTTGTGACCAAAGCTTTTGCCACATTCAGAGTATTTGTATACCTTTTCTCCAGTCTGGATACCCTCTGGCATAATCAGCTGTGATTTGCAAGTTGTATCTTTCCCAGAACAGAAACGTCTATGGAGCTTTTCCACAATTAACATTCTTGAGGAGGTGAAAAATATGGATGATCCCTTGTTTAGTGGTGCTTTAATTTACTGGTGATTTTCTTCCTCCCAGAGCGAGGCCTGTAACACTGTCTGCTTTACGTGGCTTCCTCCCCAGTAACTTCCAGATATTTCCCCCTTTTCCTGAATGGAAAAATAATCTCTCTTGACTTTTCATGTATCTTTGAGATCCACATACTTCCAACTAGAAATCTCTTCTTGATTTTCTCTCCTTTGTTTCTCTCCTGTTGGTGAAGGAAAAAAACTGTGTGGTTTTCTGAAGGAAATGGAAAATATTTTGATTTCTGGCTTAATTTTCTTTCCTTTTCAATGGTGCTTGTTATTATTAATTGTCCAGAGTACTCTCATTGCCATCTTCTTTGTCCATAAGATTCAAAGAAAAGTGTAACTTTAATTGCGTATAAAATGGTTGCAGAAGATGTGAAAAAGAGAAAAAAGTATACATTACAACAGATAAGCAAAAATGCCACAATATTACAATATCCTCTTACATTATTATTCATTTGACACATGGAAATACTACCGAGATCCAAGTTAAAATATCCATTCAAACATGAAATTCACTTGTTGACTTCAGTAAATCACAATTTCTTAGCACTGCAAAGGATTACTGTGTTTCCTAGAAAATAAGACCCGCCCAGAAAATAAGCGCTAGAATTTTTTAGCATGTGCCTAATATAAGCTCTAGCCCAAAAATAAGCCCTAGTTAAGAGCCCTCCCACTCCATCGCAGCGTCTGTTTTTGTTTGCCCAGGGCCATGACCACCGCTGTGATGGGGTAGACAGCTGCGTGGCCTCTCCGGCAGGCCAGATCACGTACCTCCCCCCCACATGCCTCTGCCTGCTGCTGCCACAGCGGTGATGTGGCCTCAATGTCAAGAAAGCCAGGGCCGGAGGCAAGCAGAGGCTGCCTCTTTTCTATCCCTGCCCTGAATCGGGGAATCTGGCGGGTAGGCAGCACTGGCCAGAGCCTCAATAATCAGCTTCTCTCTCTCACCCTCACTCTGAAGCAGTGTCCGGAGGCAACCTGGACTGTCCCACAGGCTTTACCGGCTTTCTCTTCCTCTGCGAAAGAGTGGAAAGAAAGCCGGGTGTCCTGAGACATCCCACTCTGAGTCAACTCAAGTTTCACTCGGTGGGGGAGGAAGGCTTTGGAAACTGCCTTTTCATTGACATTCATCATCAATAATGTAATCTGTCCTTTTATTTTTTTTCAAAAAATGATTTGTATTTACCACGATTAGCCTCTTTGAACGCCAATGGGAAGGCGTGGTATGAATTCCATGCATGATCCACAGAAATACAGACACTCATGCCTTCAATGCTCACAGCCCTTCTTCACTTGGCGTGCACCACTGTTTTATGGGTGCATTCAACTTTGCAGCTCAACTAAACTCTTCAGTTGTGGCAGGCTGCAGTTCCCATCACCTTCAGGAAGACTTGTGATGAAAAAAATAAAGACATCCTCTGAAAATAAGCCCTTTGGGTCTTTTGGACTAAAAATAAATATAAGACCCAATATAATTTTCGGGGAAACAAGGTATCTTCAAATATACCTGGAAGTGCTAGGGATAGATTATACAATTGCAGATATAGGCATACAGAGAGAAATATAAATACACATACCTATAACAGTATGTATGTGGAAAATTGATGTCTTTCAAGCCTGAAAAAATGTTCCAAAAATGGTTACAGTCAAACCTCCTGAGCTAATTTTAAAGATGTGGGGGCTTTAAATGATGCTTAAAGCCTTTGCAGGATTTGAAGCACCAGTTTTGCCCATGGAAGTCCTGATCTCCAAGTAAGGACAGAAAATAATGTCCACAACCCCTCTGATGACATCCCAATTCATGTAGCCCCCAAAAAATGTTCAATCAATCAATTCCAACTTCTCACGGAAAAAAAAGATATTGCGAAGTTGGAATTGATTGACTGAACTTTTTTTTTAGTCCAACAAACTTGTTTCCCTGCACACGATGGCGAGAAGCGCGACAGAGAAACGCGATGGATGTGGAAATCAGGTTAGCAAAGAAATGCTTGGGGGAAGCAAGTGGCATCTGGGCAGTGGTGGGTGGGGCAAGCTCTGTAGTATGGCACTGCGCTGCAATGGGGAAACAGAGTAGCCATCGTGAGAGAAGTTGGGGCTTCTGCGCCCAGACCCGCTTGCCCCTTCCTTCCTTCCCTCCTTCGCTGCTGGCCATCACTCCATTCGGCTCCTTTGTGTGCAGGTGTCTGCTGGAAGGATTTGCCTTGTTGCCCCCTTGTGAGCACCGCGGTTGCTGCCCAGCTCCTTCACTGGCATGGCTGATGGGGAACCAAGATCTGGCTGACCGCAAAATGATCCTTTCTGAGACCAGCCCAACCTGCGGTTTTCGGAGTGCAGGGGCTGCAGGTCGCCCGTGGCCATAGGCAGAATCAGCTCTACATGGGCAGCATGTGCTAGGGGACCCAGGGGCTGCAGGGAGGGCTGGGGAGGGGAGAGCTGTATGAAGGCTCCACATGTATGAGAGATTGCTGCAAGTCAACTCCTCCCATGGGTGAGGTCTGCACTTTCAATGCCGTTGCTAACTGGACTAATCTGGCTATCTCCGAAAACAGTAAGGGCCGAGTTCAACAATTTCTTTAGAGGTTTTAAGACCACCAACGTTTTTACAGAAAGGCCCCTTCCCTCCTCCCCTGACTGCTAAAGAAGACACATCACACATTGCTGTGTGACGTTGTCAAGAGTATTGCCAGGATTGCTGTGACTATAAGATTAGTTACAAACTGCAAAGGGTCAATCAGGCCAATCTCCATCTTGCAATTAACTACAAGCCTTCCCCGCCCTAGTTAATTGCCCATTGACTCACTATATAAGTAGGAGCTTGTTGGCTGCCAAACAGATCCAGAGATCCTGATCCAGATTGAGATTCAGTTTAAGATTCAGCAAGCCCAAGCCCAAGCCCAAGCCCAAGCCCAAGCCCAAGCCCAAGCCCAAGCCCAAGCCCAAGCCCAAGCCGCCCGAAGAAGCCTGGACTCAGAGAGCTGAGTAAAGAGATAGAGCTGAAACAAAGTCACTGATTAATGCCTAAACTAGAGCTGAAGCTCAGAGCCAGAGAGCCAGAGAGAAGGGAGAAGAAAGCTTGCCTTTGCTGAGCTGAGCATGCAAGCCAGCATATGCCTGCAAGCTAGCATCCGCTGTTGTCTCTTGAGCTGTGGTGGTTGCTGCTGCTGCTGCTGCTGCTGAGGCCACGACCAAGAGGAAGAGCTGGAGAATTTCCCTGCTAGAAGCTTCAAACCACGATGCTGATTGGATCAACTCTACAGGTGATTTGACTCACAGAAGCCCTCTACAGGACTCCCTCATTCATCACTGCTGAGAAGCCTACAGCTGCCCCGCTTCCCACTGCCTCGATGCTTTATCGATCCTGAAACTACTTAGTGTTGTATTAGCTTTTTCCTTTCCCCTTGGAAAGGGTTAAGAGGACTGGTTTCAGTATTGCAGGAGAGGAATTTGGGGAGACAGCCTGGCTTCAGCTAATGAAGATAAGTGTTAGTTATTGAGGTGTTTTAAAGACATTAGTCCTTTTTAATGTTTTTAGTAAAGTATATTTTTACAAGACTCCTCTGTCAGTTTTATTTCAGCCCCAGTGTGTTTGCATGTGAACAGGTTCACGGTTTGTTGGGACAAACCTCAACCCCTCGTAACAGATGTGTTCCGAATGGCTGTATAAAACCTGTAATATTTTGGCAATGATTTTCTATTACTAACAGAAGAAAATACCAGTAACTGTAACCCTGTTACAGGACATCTGGGCGGTGGTGGGTGGGGCAAGCTCCGTGGCATTGCGCTGTGCTGTAATGGAGAAACAGGAAATGGAGTGGCCGACATGAGGGAAGGAGGCTGCTTTCCTTCTATCTTCTCCCTGCTCCTCCTTCCCTCATGCCGGCCGCTCCATTTCCCATTTCTCCATTGCAGCGCCGCGCCCAGCAGCTGGAAGACGGGGATGGGCCACCCCTTCTCCTTTTGGCCCACCGTATATAAGACGCCCCTCATTTTCAAGTAAAGATTTTTTTTTAAAGTAGCATCTTATACACAGAAAAGTACAGTATTTTTTAAAAAGTGCCACATTAGTACAAGTACAGTTGAACCTGGTTAATACACAGAATAGGAAACACCATGGCAAGATATGGAAGTAAAACAACAAAAATCCAGTGGCGGATTCAGTCCAATCTTGTTGCCAAGAAAACAGTGTAATAGAATAGCAGAGTTGGAAGGGACCTTGGAGTTCTTCTAGTCCAATCCCCTGCTCAGGAAAGAGACCCTATACCCATGATGGCAAACCTATGGCACACATGCCACAGGTGGCACGCGGAGTTGTATCTGTGGGCACACAAGCATTGCCCTAGGTCAGCTCCAGCGCGCATGCGCATGCCGGCCAGCTGATTTTCAGGCCTTCTGGGCCCACCGGAAATTGGGGTACGGACTGTTTCCAGCCTCTGGAAGGCCTCCGGGTGGGGTGGGGAAGGCCGTTTTTGCCCTCCTCAGGCTCCAAGAAAGCCTCTGGAGCCTGGGGAGGGCGAAAAACGGGCCTACCAGGCCCACCGTGCCATCACATGTCAAAAGCGGGAGGAGCACAGGGGGGGTCGCACACGCATTGAATTACGGGTGTGGGCACGCGCATGTGCAACCCTCCATGCTCCTCCCACTTTTGGCATGCGACAGCAAAAAGGTTAGTCATCACTGCCCTATAGCATTCCAGACAAATGGCTGTCCCGTCTTAAAACTTCCTGATGAACTAGATGACAACTTTGTCATCCAAAAGGTCTCCTATAGTGATCTAAAACCCACTCCAGCACAATACTAGGGAAAAAGAAAAATAAGAATTCTAAAAGAAGGGAGTCTTTCCGATAAATTGAAAGACAAAAGGATAATACCAGCACATAGCCTGAACCTACAAAAATGAAATCAGGAAAGCTACAGCTCAGAATGAACTAAGACCTCCCACAAATGAGAAAAATAACCTTTAGTAAGTTTCTTTCAAACATGTAAAATTCAAGAAAAAAGTCAAGGAAACAATTGACCCACTAATGGGAGAAGATGACAAGGAAGTGACTGGCAGCAGGGAGAAAGTGGAGCTGCTTAATTCATTCTTTGCATCTGTTCTCACGCAAAAAGAAAAAATAGCTCAACCCACCAAAAACAGAACTGTAAAAGACAGACTAGGAATACAAATTAAAATAGGCAAGAAAATGGTAAGAGAACACCTGTCCACTGTAGACAAGTTCTAATCACCAGGATCAGATTGATTACATCCTAGAGTTCTGAAGGAGCTGGCAGACATGATCTAAGAACCTTTGAACCATATCTTTCAAAGATCTTCGTGCACTGGGCCAGCAGAGATGACAGGCTCCAGATCCTCTGTAGCTGCTCTGCTCCTGCAGGCAGCTCTCTGTCTCCCACCACTGCCAGACAGCCTTGGGACTGCCTCAGCCTCTGGAATCTCCCCATAGGACAATCCTGGTTGTTGTTGTTGTTGTTGTTGTTGTTCCTTCTCCCTCCTCCTCCCCCTCCCTGGGATTTGATAAAACTGTGACAATCAACTCTTTTTCCAGTCCACTGGTAGTTCCCAGGTGCTCAAGGATCTTTGAACGTTGTGGTTCCGAGATCAGGTCTGCCAGTTTCTTCAGAACTCTGGCATGTAATCAACCCAATGGATTACTACCCTTTTCTTCTCCTACATGTGGGGACGTCTGCCTCTCCCGAAGAGCCTTGGTGCACAGCCTTGGTGCACAGGTGAGGAGAGGAGACCAGAGGGATGGACAGAGGTCAGCAAAGCTGCTAGAGAGGAAGCAGCCCCACCCCTCCTCACAAGGAAAAGCTGAGGAAGGATGATTTAACCAGATGCTGATTAAAGGTGTGTGTTGGAAACACCAGCTTGTTTTGAAGTCCACCTTCTCAGCTTTAATGGATCCTGTCTCTTGAACTTTGGACTATGGATTTGCTTGTGGACTTTGGACTTGACTCTCAGACTGTGCTTTTGTTGTTAGAACTCTGAACTTGTGGGTATTGTTACTTCCTTCTTTGCCTCATGGTCAGCTAAGACCTAATTTGTAGAGCAGGGGAATTCAGACTGGGGCTGAGGGCTGTGGCGGAGCTTCACTGGCACCATTGGTGCATCATTTGACACTGTGATAAGTGAGCAATAAACAGACGCTATTAAACCCTGCCTTGCCACCATGACTTGGGTCAGAACACTGATGTAGTTTCCATCTTCAAAAAAGGGGAAAATGGATTTGCAAAACTACAGACCAATCAGCCTGACACAGGGGTGAAATGTAAAATCTGTTACTACCAGTTCTGTGGGCGTGGCTTGGTGGTGGTGGGGAGTAATGTGACTGGGTGGGCGTGGCCAACTTTTAAAAAAAAAAACTTTCCAAAGCATTTTTTCTAATGCTTTGAAAAGCCTCTCTGCCGATCAGGAACTCAGCTGGGAACGTCAGAGACTTTTCAAAGCATTTTTTTTTACCACCTCTTTGGCCAAGAGGTTGCAGAAAAAATGCTTTGAAATGCCTCTAATGATCCCAGCTGAGCCGTGCGATCATCAGAGGCTTTTTTTTTTTTTACTTTTAAAAGCATTTTTTCATCGGAAGAGGTTGTAGAAAAAATGCTTTTAAAAGTAAAAAAAAAAAGCCTCTGATGATCGTGCGGCTCAGCTAGGCATGGGGGGGGGACAGTGATTTTTGCTACCGGATCTCCGAACCACCCGCCACCATCGCTACCGGATCGGGTGATCCGGTCCGAACTGGGAGCATTTCACCCCTGGCCTGACATCAATGCCTGAAAAGATCCTAGAAATCAAGCAACAGATCTGCAAACAACTAGACGCAAGCAAACTTATAACCAGAAGCCAACATGGATTTTTTTTAAAAAAAGATCATGCCAAACAAATCTTATTTCATTCTTTGACAAAGTGACTCAATTAGTGGACCAGCAAAATGCTGTGGACATAGTATACTGGAATTTCAGTAAGGCATTTGATAAAGTAGACCTCTCTACTTCTTGGTAAGCTAAAAAATATGGGATAGCTACATCACCATTGGATGGATTTGTAACTGGCTGATAGGTAGCACTCAACGTGTAGCTCTCAATAGAACTACATCTATATGGAGGGAAGTAAGCAGTGGGGTAACCCAGGGTTCTGTTTTAGGCCCAGTTTTCTTCAATATCATCATAAACAATTTAGATGAGGGAATAGAAGGGGAACTCATCACATTTGGAGATGACACTAAATTGGCAGGAATAGCCAACACCCCAGAAGACAAGCTCAAGATACAGAAGAATCTCAATAGATTTGAACATTGGGGCCTATCTAAGAAAATGAAATATATGGTTTTACACTTAGTCAAGAAAAACCAAATGTCAAGGTACAGCATAGGTACAACCTGGCTCAACAGCTGTACCAGCAGCAAGGATCTTGAAGTCCTAGTGGACAATCGCTTAAATGTAAGCCAACCGTGTATTGCTGTGGCCAAAAAAGCCAAAACAATACTAGGCTGCCTAAACAGAGGGGTAGAATCAAGATCACATGAAGTGTTAGTACCAATTTATAATCCTTTGGTAAGACCACACTTGGAATACTGCATCCAGTTTTCATCACCAGAGACTTAAAAAGACATTGAGACTCTATATTAACCCAGAGAAGAGCAGTAAGGATGATTAGGGGGCTGGAGGCTAAAATATAAAGAAGGGTTGCAGGAATTGGGTAAGTCTAGTGAAAGGAAGGACTAGGGGTGACATGATAGCAGTGTTGCAATACTTGAGGGGTCAAGAAGAAGGGGGTCAACTTATTTTTCAAAGCACCAGAAGGCAAGACAAGACAAGTAGTGGATGGAAACTAATCTAGGAGAGAAGCAGCCTAGAACTAAGGAAAAATTTCCTGACACTGTGCACAATTAACCAGGGGAAGGATTTGCCTTCAGACGTTGTAGGGGATCCATCACTGGAGGCTTTTAAACAGAGACAGGACAGCCATTTGTCTGAAATGGAGTTGGGTCTCCTGCTTGATCAGGAGGTTGGAATAGAAGACCTCCAAGGTCCCTTCCAGCCCTGTTACAAACCCTCCAGGGACGGAGCAGCCACAACCTCTGGAGGGAAGCCAGCCCCAAAGGCTCAACCTGCATTGGAAGGAGGCTTTTTCAAGCTTCCCACCAGCAGAAACTTGCAGCCCCCAGTTTCCCAGCCTGCAGCACCAGTGGGCTTCCATTTGGGGAGGGAAGGAACCTGCAGCAGCCGCAGCTGAGAGGCTTCAGCCCAGTTGCTTCTCCGCTTCCAGCCCAAGTTGCTCCCGGACTCTCCTCCCACCTGCTGCCCTCCACTCACCTGCCAGCTGCTGCTTCGACCCTGGGAAGAGCAGAAAAGCCGCTCTGCACACCAACTTCCTCCCATCAATCATCCGGAAGAGGAAGTTCGGCTGTCCCAAAGGTGCTTTTTCAAAAGGAAACTCGACTGCCTTCTACTCTTCCCTCGCCTTCCAACCTTTCTAGCAATAAAGTACTCTATGGTTTTAACTCCTTTAAACTCAACCATGGATGATATCTGCTTTCTAGGCACAGGTGTTGCCTGTTTGACCACCATCTCCTACCAGGAGGCAGAAAAACATGTTTCTCCAGCCTCTATCTAAGGCCTTTGCAACATGTTTCCACTAATTAAATGCTATGTTTTTGACTTCTGAGCCTAGTGAAATGTGATGCTACTTAACCTTGCCAAGATGAGCTATGTGCTCAGCCCTGAAAGTTCATGAAGGTTTTACAGAATTACACAATCAGCTTTCTTAGGGGTGACTCTCAGTGGAGATCAAAACCTCTCTAATACCCCAAAACTTTATGACTGATTCCCTGTGGCTCCCAAGATTTTAGGACATGGCAGCACCATCAGGCCAGACACTTCAGGGGAGCCAGCTTCACTCCTGCTGGCCAGGGCTGCATCCAAGAGCTCCCAGCAAGAAGCTTGGTTCCTGGAGGAGGAAAATTTATATCTGCTAAATGCCATGTGTAAATTCTCTAAATCTGCCTGCATGGAAATCTCCATTAGGTCACAGAGAGAGAAAAGTATGCAGCAGGGCTTAGAAAATGGGGGCTAAGAAAGAGGGGGTGATTGTCAATATATAGTAGAAGAAATATTTTTGAAATACATTTTAAAAAGAAAACAAAAGGGAAGAGTAGAATATCCCATCAAAGCATATGGTTGACTAATAACCAGGCTAACCTTTTTAGAGGGACAGCCTGCACTGTCATTTTCAGTGGCGATCCAGTAAGGTTTGGATGGTGATAGTGGTCTTTTAGGTCTTTTATCTTTGATGGGAAGATAACAGTGTTCCGTGAGCCTTTGGCGTTTAGTCATGCCGGCCACATGACCACGGAGACGTCTTTGGACAGCGCTAGCTCTTCAGCTTTGAAATGGAGATGAGCACCGCACCCTAGAGTCAGGATCAACTAGCACATATGTTCAAGGGGAACCTTTACCTTTAGTGGTCTTTTAGCTTTCGGATCTGAGCTCTGTTGAATGCAGGAATCTGGAATAAAAGAACTGCAAGGTATATTTTATTGATTTCCTTTTCATTCAGCTCCCTAACCAATCTATGGTCACTAGCCACGGTCATCCCTATCTTCAAAAAGGGAGATCCCAGCCTAGTCGAAAATTACAAATCAATCTCTTTATGCTGCGTCATCTGCAAAGTCATGGAATCAATCATCAACCAATCTATTACCCTCCACCTAGAAACACCTACTCTCTAATAAACAATTTGGTTTCAAAAAAATAAATAAATTATCCTGTAATCTACAACTTCTACACTGCAGAAACATATGGACTACAAATCTTGATCAGGGCAAAGCAATAGATGCAATTTACATAGACTTCTGTAAAGCCTTTCCGTGGTACATGACAAACTACTTCTAATACTAAAATCCTATGGCATCTTTGGATCCCTCCATAATTGGATAGTGTGGCAAAATGGCAGCCACTTTCACAAGTCCAACGCATGGCCCAGGGATGAATCCAGGGCCCACTGAAAATGGTGGCTGTTTCCAGGACACAGTCATGAGGCCCAGGGATGCATGTCCTCCTGTCCTTCTGTAGGGAATTCAAAAATAAAATGGTAATGAAGGGAATAGTAATAATTGAATAGAAACTTGTTATTTTATTGCACAATATATGTTATGCTGCTACAAAAGTATTTTCCATTTAAGCATTTATTTGTTAAGCATTTGTATGTAAAATGTAAAAACATATGTATGAAATCAATTGTATCTTTCCTGCATTAAGATCTAAATATGACTGAATTTTACAATATAGTTAGATAATATGCTTTGTGGAACTTTTCTCCCATGTCTATGGTGCATATGCTTGGAGAAGGTCATGTGGGCATTATTCTGTTCTTTGGCATAGGAGAGGGGCCTGCTGAGGGTGCACGGAGACATTCCTTAAAACTGAGAGATGCTAGGTAGATGTGTAATGGACAGGTATGGAGAGGTACGGGGGGGGGGGTGCTGAAGAGAAAGTAATCTGAGAAAACAAAGAGGGAGACAATGTATTCCTTTGAGGCATCTTGGATTAGCTGAAACCCCGGAGGACCTGTCCAATAAGTCCAAAGGAGGAGGGAAATGGACCGTCGGGATAGGAAACTATAAAATGTAATGCTTTTGAAATTTTAGGTGTGGCTTCCTGGCTTAAACTCCTCTGTTGAGATCTGCTGGGATATACCCACCCTATTTTGCAAAATAGCTTTTATTATTTTCTTTTAATAAAATCTCTTTGTTTTCATCGACCCATGCTTGTTGGTTGAATTCATTTCCAACACTTCCCCGACATGAGGATCAGAGATCTTCAAAAGGTGAGGAGGAGGAGGAGGAGGGTGTGAGGCCTGGTGGGGTGGGAGTCAGACCTAAGGACTGCAGGGACCCAGTGGGAGTAAGAAATGATTCGGGTAGTTAAGAAAAGCAATCTCACTTAACAGCCGTTGCAACATGCAACCATAATTGCAAGGCCATGACAGTTGTATCTTGAGGATTACTTATATGTTGGCTGGGGAATTCTGGGGCTAAAAATCTAGAGGAAACCAAGGTAGAAGACTGAAACTCCACATATGGGAGTTACATAATCAATCTTTAAAACTATCACCCAGAAGCCATAATAAGGAATTTCACTACTTCTACAAAAGGAAATATCCAGAAACTGCTGCCAATAATCAGAAACAAAACATTCTGCTGATAACCAGAAAAGTGAGCGTTTTTCCATTTCCCTTTTCTCTCCATCTATAAGTCTAGTTCTGAGATATGTTTGAGTAAAAAGAATCAGGCCAGAATTCAAATAGTCAATTTCTCACCTACACTATCAATGGGAGATTACAAATGAAAAGCATTCGCTAAACTCATCTACTCTTGCCTCATATGTATTTCTTGGTGTGCAATAAGGGATGATTTATGTCTGAAGTAAGATCTACAGACTGGACATTTGAAAGGTTTCTCCCCTGTGTGAGTCCTCTGGTGTCTCATCAAATCAGAATTCTGAATGAAACTTATTCCACAATCCGGACACTCATACTGTTTCTCTCTTGTGTGAGTCCTCTGGTGTTTCACCAGGCTGGAATTACGACTGAAACTTTTCCCACAGTCAGGACATTTAAAAGGTTTCTCTCCTGTGTGAGTTCTCTGGTGTATCACCAGTTCAAAATTACGACTGAACCTTTTCTCACAGTCAAGACATTCAAAGGGTCTTTCTCCTGTGTGAATCCTCCGGTGTATTGCCAAACTGGAATTTCGACTGAAATTTTTCTTACAATCTGGACATTCATATGGTTTCTCTCCTGTGTGAGTCCTCTGGTGTCTCACCAAATCAGAATTCTGACTAAAATGTTTTCCACAATCTGGACACTCATACGGTTTCTCTCCTGTCTGAGTCTTTTGGTCTATCACCAGATGGGAATTCTGACGAAAACTTTTTCCACAAACCAGAGATTCATATGGTTTCTCTCCTGTGTGTGTTGTCTGGTGTATCACCAGATTGGAATTCTGACTGAAACATTTCCCACAATCTGGACATATGTACGGTTTCTCTGTGTGAGTCCTCTGGTGTATTATCAGCTTGGCCTGCTTGCTATAGCTTTTGCCACATTGAGACAACTGGTAGGGCTTTTCTCTGGTGTGAGCCTTTCCATGGGAACAGGGCTTTTCTCCAGTAAGGATCATCTCAGGCATAATTCTACAATCTTTGCTTTTTCCACAATAGGCAGATCTGTGGATCTTTTCCACCACTGACATTCTTGGATTCTCAAGGACGTAAAAAATACTCTGAATCCCTTCTTGGATGGAGCATTGATTCAAGCTACTATTTCCTTCCTCACAGGGTGAGGCCTGCATTATGGTCTGCCTTATCTGGCTGTCCAAGTGACTTTTTTGTTTCCACTGACTTCCAGATATTTCCCTCTTTTTCTGAACTAGGAAATTATGCCCCTTGATATTTTGATATGTTTCTTCCAGATACTCTATTTTTTTTTTTGTCCATCTCAAAACTCTTTTCCTGGTTTTGTCTTCCTTGTCTGTAAACTGCTGGGGAAGAAGAGGAGTTTTGGGGTTTTCTGGAGGAACTAAAAAGATTTTGATTGCTACCTTGGTTTCCTCTGCATTTTAATGCTGCTTGTGATTCAGTTCTCCACAGTGCTGTCTTTGGCATTCTTCTGCCTGTAAGATTCACATAAAAGGGTTAGTTTAATTATGGTTTATAAAATGGTTATACATTTTAAAAAAGCACATCCAAAGGCATACATTACAATAAAAAGCAAGGATGCCAACATGCTAACTTAACCTCTTACATTATTTATATTTTCAATATAAATGTCAAATGCCCATTCAGTTATGAAACTTGTTGACTTGGGTCAACAAAGAATTGCAAAGATCATCAAATATATGTGGAAGTGCTGGGGACAAATTATACACATACACATATATGTGGGTCCACTCACATTTTTTTGGCCCAATTTTAGAGTGATGAGGGGGGTGGGTGTTAATTGATGAAATGATCCCAAGATCTGTGGCGAGATTTAAAGGACCATTTTTGCCCATGGAAGTTCACCACTCCAAATAAGAAAAAGGCAAGAAATACTGTCTACAATCATGCTGATGACATCCCAATTCAGGTAGTCCTGACTTACTGAAAGCCACTGGGACCGGCAAGTCCATTCCTAAATGGCATGGTCGTTAAGTATGACATCATTTACCTATGCCCACTTATGAAATCCTGGCTGTGGTCATTCAGCAAATCACTGCGGTCTGCTCAGTGCAATGTAATGTGACTGTGGCTTGCAACTTCCTGTCAATTTCCAATTGATTTTGTTTGTTAGGAGTCAGTTTCCAAATGGAAAGTCCATGACTGTGGGACACCACAACCATCTTGAATGCAAGCCAGTGCCATCCCCACATAACTGTGATAGCCACAACTTTGAGGAACATTTTAAAGTCTTTTATTCAGACCACTGAAACTTTGAAGACTGAATGGTACGTGGTGAGGATTATCTATAAATCCGAACATCCCAATAACTTTTTTTTTTACATGGGCCCAATAACTTTTAAAAAAACCAAAAACCTCTGGGTTAAGGACAGTTGTGCCAGGTTAATCCATGGATGGCACACCACCAGGAAGTCCTGTGTTTGTTTGCTAGATATGGAAGTAAAAACAAAACTCCTGAAGACAGCAGTGGCAGATCAGTTCCAAATTGTTGCCAAAAAAAGAACATGCCCATAAAATTACAAGGAGTCAACCCTAACATGGAGACTTTTTAAATTTCCCAAGAACAGAAATTTAAAGGCATGCATCACTAGTGAAATAAAATCTGGGGAATAAAATCTCTCCTCTGCCTGACCTTAGCTCACCTTTGAGTAAGGTGACCAGATTTTAACATTGGTAAAGAGGGACATTGTGGGCGTGGCTTATTTTGTGGGCGTGGCTAGCTGATCATGTGACTGGGTGGGCATGGCTAGCTGGTCATGTGACCGGGTGGCCATGGCTATGTCTATAGGGTAAGGTGAACAGATTTTAACATTGGTAAGAAGGACACCATTGTGGGCGTGGCTTATTGTGTGGGCGTGGCTTGGAGGCCATGTGACTGGGTGGGCGTGGCTACCTGGTCATGTGACCGGGTGGCCATGGCTATGTGTATAGGGACTACTCAGAGGGCTGAAAAGTCATTTCTGACAGGTCCTCACACTTTTGACTGGTCCTCACACTTATGACCATCCTCACATTTATGCCCGTGCAGCATTCTTAACAACCATGTCACTCATTTCACAACTGCTTCTCTTCAACAAGGTGACAAGATAGGGCAAAAATGTAAAATGTGAGGACAGTCGTAAGTTCGAGGACCGGTCAAAAGTGTGAGGACCAGTCAAAAATAACTTTTTCAGCCCTCTGAGTAGTCCATATGCACAAAAGGACTAACCAGAGGGCTGAAAAAAGTCATTTCTGACAGGTCCTCGCACTTTTGACTGGTCCTCACACTTATGACCATCCTCACATTTATGCCCGTGCAGCATTCTTAACAACCATGTCACTCATTTCACAACTGCTTCTCTTCAACATGGTGACAAGATAGGGCAAAAATGTAAAATGTGAGGACAGTCGTAAGTTCGAGGACTGGTCAAAAGTGTGAGGACCAGTCAAAAATAACTTTTTCAGCCCTCTGAGTAGTCCATATGCATTAAAGGATTACAGCAATAGAGAGGGATGAAGGAATGGAAATTAGAGTAGGAGTGAGGGTAAGAGAGGGAGGAAGAGAGGAGGAGAAGGAGAAAGAAAGAGGAAGTAGGGAGGAGAAAAAGAGGGTGGGGGGAAGAGAAAGTAAGAAGGAAAAAAAAGAGAGAGGTGGTAGGTTTGAGGAGAAAGATTGCTGTACAATAAAAAAAATGAAAGGGAAGAAAGCCAACCCCAAGCAAATATAAAGATATTAAGATAAAGAATGAATTGTTAAACTTTAAAGAATAAAAGAGAACAAATATGAATAAATAGCAATAATTAGAAACACACATACAAACATACAATGTATTTTCTTTGAACAGAATATTTGGCTGGTTCACAAATTTAAACAGCGTTTAGTCATTTCAATTAAATTTACAATTTCTATATTTCCTTTTTGCCATATTTATTCCTCATCTATTTTTTAAAAAAACCAATATTACCCTTCATCCTCATCTCTAATCTTAATCAAATTCAATTTTTCCCTTCTATTCTATATTATACCCCTTCCCATTGTCATCTATTTTTATATCCATCCTCACATTGTTTAATTATGTAATTATGTAATACAGTTGTTTAATACAAATTCAACATTTTAATATAAATCAATTAGTTATAAAACTATCTTTTTTGTATATTAATCAATATGAACATGAATATTCCAATTATTTCCATGCAATCCAATTTCTTACAAATCAATTAATTATATTTACCAATAATAATAAACCAAATAATTTCTCCCATATATTCCTCCGAACCACAACTTAACCATTTCTGCTTTCAACACAATATACAATTAATAGTATCTCAATTATTACAATTCCCTAGTTAAATACAGCTTTTTTTCCTTTGTGTTTTAAAATCTTGAACTCTCCTCCTAAATTTCCCATTGTTTGCAGTTTTTCACCTACCTTTTTTGGGGAGGAAAAATAAAAATAAAAATAAATCTCTCTCTGCCTCATTTTGTCACGCTGCACCAAAGACCCTGGTTTCGGTTTCGTTTCTGAAGCTTAGCTAGGGGAAAAAAAAACTGCTTTACACTGATTGCCTGTAGGGCGGCCCTTTGAAGCCCCGGGCAAGAGTTTAAACAGTTTTTTTTTCTTCTAGCCATCAGCTGGGGCTCAAGAAAAATCGGGACTTTTTTGAAACGCCGCGGGACGCGGGACAAATTGCTCAAAAGCGGGACTGTCCCGTCAAAAGCGGGACGTCTGGTCACCTTACCTTTGAGCTGCTGCTCCCATTCTGGGAAGACCAAGAGGGCCACTCTCCTCGCCTCCACCCTCTCAGCCAAGAGCCGGAAGAGGAAGCTCTCCTGCTGTTCTTCTCCTCATTTCCTCCAAATCCTCTAGGAATCTACTATTCAAATATTCTAACTCTGTGATGGTGAACCTATGGCACACATGCCACAGCTGGCACATGGAGCCATTTCTGCGGATACATAAGCCATCGCCCTAGATCAGTTCCATTGTGCATGTGCATGTGCCTCCCACTGGCCAGCTGATTTTTGGGTCTTGCTGCGCATGCAGGAGACACACGTGCATGCCCATGCCGCCCCTCCCCTCCCAGGAGTCTCCATGCGGCCTGTTTTGGATGCCAGGTAGGTACAGGGCTCATGTGGAGGCTCTGGGAGGGCGAAAAACAGAAGTCCGGAAATGGGCCGTTTCTGGCCTCTGGAGGTCCGGGAGAGACCATTTTCTTCTTTTTTTTTTAATTTGATTTATATGCTGCCCTTCTCCGGAGACTCAGGGCGGCTTACAATGCGTTAAGCAATAGCCTTCATACTTTTGTATATTTTTACAAAGTCAGCTTATTGCCCTCACAAACTGGGTCCTCAATTTACCTACCTTAGAAAGGAAGGAAGGCTGAGTCAACCTTGAGCCTGGCAAGATTCGAACTTACTAATTGCAGACAGCTGGAGTTAAATTACAATGCATTAGTCTGCTGAGCTATCCAGGCTCATTTTCACCCTCCTGGAAGCTCGAGGAAAGCCTCCAGAGCCTGTGGAGGGCAAAAAACAGGCCTCTCAGAAGTACTGGATACAGGCTGTTTCTAGCCTCCGGAGGTCTGGTGGAGGTCGTTTTCGCCCTCCTGGAGGCTCTAGGAAAGCCTCCAAAGCCTGTGGCGGGCGAAAAACGGGCCTACCGGAAGTCCAGAAATGGGCTGTTTCCAGCCTCTGGAGGCTTCAGGGAGGCCTGCTAGGTCCAAAATGGGGTCACGGGGGGGTCACGTGTGCCTGCACAAGGGGGTGGGGTGGAGCAGCATGGGAGGATTGCGCGCACATGCACAGGGGGGCTGGGCCTGCCTGGAGGGCATTGCATTATGGGTGTGGGCATGCGCAAGTGCGCGACACCCATGGAAACATTTCCCACATTCAGGACATTCAAAGGGTTTCTCTCCTGTGTGTACCCTTTGGTGGCTTACAACATGAGAATTTCTAATGAAACTTTCCCCACAATCAGCACATTCAATGGGTTTCTCCCTGGTATGAGTCCTCTGATATATCACCACGTTGCCATGGTCACTAAAGCATTTACCACATTTGTAGGGCATCTGCACTGTGTGTGTCCTTCCATGAACCATAAAGGAATGTTCTGACCAAAGCTTTTGCTATATTTGGAGCTTTTTTATGGCTTTTCTCCAATGTGGATCTACTCGTGCATAATCACATTTATCTTTCCCACCATAGGTACATCTCTCTACATGGGGCTCCTCTTGAAGAGCACTCGGAGGCTCCAACTGGTCCAGAATGCGGCCACGTGGGTGGTTATGGGCGCACCTCGTTACGCCCATGTAACACCTCTCCTGTGCGAGCTGCACTGGCTCCCAGTGGTCTTCCGAGTGCAATTCAAGGTGTTGGTTACCACCTTTAAAGCGCTCAATGGCATTGGACCAGGATATCTACGGGACCACCTTCTGCCACCAACAGCCTCCCACCGACCAGTTCGCTCCCACAGAGAGGGACTCCTCAGGGTGCCGTGGGCCAAGTTATGCCGGCTGGCGACACCCAGGAGGAGAGCCTTCTCTGCCGGAGCCCCTGCCCTTTGGAATGAATTGCCCCCGGATATTCGTAACATCTCTGATCTCCGGGTCTTTTGCTGTGCCCTCAAGACCCTACTGTTCCGACAGGCGGGGCTGCCTAATTGAATTATTTTAAATTGGGTTTTAACTTTGGGTTTTAAAATTCGGCCAAAACTATTGAATGATTTTAATTAATTTTAACTATGATATTGTATATTTATGTTTTAATTTTGGCTGTACACCACCCCAAGTCCTTCGGGAGGAGGGCGGTATATAAATAAAATTATTATTATTATTATATTATTATTATTATTATTATTATTATTATTATTATTATTATTATTATTATTATCATCATCATCATCATCATCATCATCATCATCATCATCATCTATGGAGCTTTTTCACCACTGATATTCTTGAGGTCAAAAATATGTGTGATTTCCAGATATTTCCCTCTTTTTCTGAATAAAAAATAATCTCACTTGATTTTTCATGTAATCTATCCTTGAGTTTCGCATACTCTACTTTTTCCAGCCCTCAAATCTCTTCTTTATTTTCTCTCCTTTGTCTCTCACCTGATGTGGAAGGAGAAGAATTATGTGGTTTTCTGAAGGAAATAGAAAATATTTTGATTTCTGGCTCCATATGGTTTCCTTTTCAAAATTGTTTATTATTCTCAGTTGTCTAGAATGTTCTTATTGCCATTCTCTTTGTCTATAGGATTCAAAGAAAAGCATAACTTTGTTTATAAAATGGTTGCAGAAGATATGAGAAAAAGAAAAAAGTATACAATTGAAAAAACAAACATGCCACAATCCTAGAATAACATCTTACATTGTGATTCCCTGGACACTTGTTGATTTGGGCCAAATTCAGTTGTTGAGTTGAGTCAATCACAAATTATTAGCAGTGGAAAGGCCTATCATCCAACATATCTGGAAGTGCTGGGGATAGATTATCTATTTGCAGATATAGGTATATAGAGAGAAATAGATACATGCACCTATAAAGGCATGTATGTGGAAAATCCGTATCTTTGAAGCTTGAAAAATGTCCCAAAATGATTACAATCAAGCCTTCTGTGCTAATTTCAGAGGAGTTTTAATTGATGAAGTGCTGCCTAATGGTTGTGCAAGATTTGAAGCATCAGTTTTGCTTATGGAAGTCCTCAGTTGCAAATAAAATCAGAAATTACTGTCCACAAGTATTCTGGTGACATCTCAACTCAAGCAGTCCTCACTTACTAACCACAATTGGAACTGGCTTCAAAGTCACTAAGCAGCCTGATCATTAAGCATGATGTCACACGAGTGCCAACTTACATCTGTTCCTCTGCCATTCTTAAGCAAATCACTGTGGGTTGTTAAAGGCAATTTCACATGACTGTCACTTGCAACATCCTGTTGGCATCTCCACTGATTTGTTTCTCAAAAGCCAGCTGGGAAGGTCATAAATAGGGAATATGGGTGGGGGATGCTGCGACCAACATAAATATGCACCAATTGGCAGAACTCAAATTGGTGCATCTCCTCTTCCTGCACCTTCATAATCAGAGGAACTGTTGCGGTGTGGTCACTGAACAAGTGCTATGATGACCACCAATGTGTGAACCTGATGTACATTTGCTTTTACAGTGCCATAGTAACTTTGAAGGCTCAGGGAAGAAGTGGTAAACGAGGACTACCTATACAACTGAACATCCCAAAAGGTCTTCAGTAGTTATTTTTTAAAAAGTACTGGATTAACCACAATTGAACCTGGTTAATACATGGATGGGGCACACCTGGGAATACCATGCTTATTGGAGAGCCTTGATAGTACAGTGGTCTAAGCACCCTGTTATTAACATAGCTGCCTGCAATTACTGCTGGTTCGAATCTCTCCAAGGCTCAAGGTTGACTCAGCCTTCCATCCTTTCTAAGGTAGGTGAAATGAGGACCCAGTTTGTGGGGGCAATAAGATGACTTTGTATAAATATACAAAAGTATGAAGGCTATTGCTTAACGCATTGTAAGCCGCCCTGAGTCTCCGGAGTAGGGCGGCATATAAATCAAATTTTAAAAAAAATAAAAATTGGCGAGACATGGAAGTAAAAATACAAAAATCTCAAAAAAGACCAGGGGCAGATCACTCTGATCTTGTTGCCACGAAAACAGCAGGCCCATAAGAGAATAACAGAGATGGAAGGGATCTTGGAGGTCTTCTAAACCAATTCCCTGCTCGGGCAGGAGACTATACCATTCTGGACAAATGGCTGTCCAATTTCGTCTTAAAGGTTCTTGATGAATGTAGCTGACAACTTTGTCATCCAAAAGGTAGAGGAAGGAACTAGAGGGTCAGCTATATTGTTCTAAATTGTTACTAGCAGAGATGAAATCATAGAGGGGGGGTTGAAGTTGCAGGAACTCTTGACAAGAGTGACCATGTCATAATGGAATTCAATATAATGCAGACACAAGCAATAGAACAAAATCAAGCTAGTGTCTTAGACTTTAAAAGAGCTGATTTAAACAAACGTAGAGACAGTATGTGAAAGGTTCCAAGCATGAAAATCTTAAAGGGAAAAACAACTCAAGAAGCTTGGGAAACTCTGAAAGACATGATTACAAAAGCCAAGGCTAATACAATATCACTGAAAAAAAAAGTAAGAAATCCAAAAAAACAAAGATGATTGCATTAAAAACTCTCCAATAAACTGAAAGACAAAAAGGATAAGTATAAAAAATGGAAAGAGGGGCACATAACTAAGGCAGAATACCAGCATATAGTCCGAATCTGCAAAGATGAAATCAAGCTCATGGTGAGAATGAACTAAGACTTGCAACAAATGTCAAAAATAATTTTAAAACATATATAAAACAAGAAAAAAGTCAAGGAAACAGTCAGTCCACTAATGGGAGATGATGGCAAGGAAGAAGTGACAGGCAGTAGAGACATAGCAGAGCTACTTAATTCATTATTTGCACCTATCTTCAGGCAAAAAGAAAAAAATAGCCAAACCTATAAAAAAACGGAACTGTAAAAGGCAGACAAGGAATACAAATTAAAACAGGCAAGAAAATGATAGGAAAACACCTGTCCATTCTGAACAAGTTCTAACCACCAGGACCAGATTGATTACATCCCAGAGTTCTGAAGGAGCTGGCAGACGTGATCTAAGAACCATTGAACCATAGATTTCAAAGATCTTCAAGCACCAAGGAACTACAGGTGAACTGGAATAGAGGTGATATAGTTCCCATCTTCAAAAAAGGGGAGAAAAATGGATCCACAAAACTACAGACCAATTAGCATGACAATACTACCTGGGAAGATCCTGGAAAAGATAATGAAACAAGAGATCTGCAAACACCTAGAAGCAAGCAAATATATAACCAGAAGTCAACATGGGTTTGTCAAAAACAGATCATTCCAAACAAATGTTATTTCATTCTTACACAAAGTAACTAAATTAGTGGACAAGTTAAATACATAGTATAATTGGATTTCTGTAAGGCAATTGACAAAGTAGACCATAACCTACTTCTTGGTAAGTTAGAAAAATGTGGGACAGGTACATCCATCCACACAGATGGATTCATAACTGGCTGACAAACCACCCTCAAAGTGTATTCCTTAATGGGACTATATCTATATGGAGGGAAGTAAGCAGTGGGTACCCCAAGGTCCTGTTTTAGTACTCTTTAATATCTTCGTAAATGCCTTAGATGAGGGAATCGAACAGGAACCCATCAAATTTGCAAATGAAACCAAGTTAGCAGGAATAGCCAATACCTCAGAAGATAGACTCAAGATAGAGAATCTCGATAGATTTGAACACCGGGCCCTACCTAACAAAATGAAATTTGAGGGAGGAAAAAAAATAAGGTTTTACACTTATGTATGAAAAAACAAGAATAGGTACAACCTGGCTCAAGCAGTAACTATGAGAGGGACCTTGAAGTCCTAGTGGACAATCATTTAGATATGAGCCAGCAGTGTATTGCAGCGGCAAAAAAAGCACCAATACAATACTAGGCTGCATTAACAGGGAGATAGGATCAAAATCATGTGATGTACTAGTGTCACTTTATAAAGAGTAAGACCACACTTAGAAAATTACATACAGGTTTGGTCACCGTATCATTAAAAAGATATTGAAACTCTGGAAAGAATGCAGAAAAGAGCAACAAAGATGATTAGGGGGCTGGAGCGCAAGCATAGGAAGAAAAGTTGTAGAAATTGGGTATGTCTAGTCTAGTGAAAGGAAGGACTAGGGGAGACATGATAGTCTTCCAATACTTGAGGAGTTGCCACAAAGGGTGAGGGGTCAATCTATTCTCCAAACCCCTGAAGGCAAGACAAGAAACTGGATGGAAACGAAGCAAGGAGAAAAGCAACCTAGAACTAAGGAGAAACTTCCTGACACAAGAACAATTAACCAATGGAAGGATTTGCCTTCAGAAGTTGTGGGGGCTCCATCACTGGTGACTTTTAAAAAAAGGACTGGAGACATTTGTCTGAAATGGTATTGGATCTCCTGCTTGATCAGGGGGTTGGAACAGAAGACCTCCAAGGATCCTTCCAACTATGTTACTCTGTTACAAACCTGCAGTGATGGAGCACCCACAATTTCTGGAGGGAAGCCATTCCCAAAGCATCAACCTTCACTTGAAGGAGACTTTTTAAATCTTCAGACCAGCAGAAAGTTGCAGCCACCAGTTTCACAGCCTGCAGCACCAGTGGGCTTCCATTTGGGGAGGGAAGGAACCTGCAGCAGCAGCAGCTGAGAGGCTTCAGCCCAGTTGCTTCTCCGCTTCCAGGCCGTGGAGGGAACCGAACAGCCCGACTTGCTCCCGGACTCTCCTCCCACCTGCAGCCCTCAACTCACCTGCCAGCTGCTGCTCCGACCCTGGGAAGAGCACAAAAGCCACTCTGCACACACCACCTTCCTCCCATCAGCCATCCGGAAGAGGACGTTCCTTTGCGCTTCTCCTCTCCTCCCATCCTACCTAGCAATGCAGTATTCGATTGGTTTTAATTCTTTAAAATCAACCTCAGAGCCCGCCTACTGTATTGTCTGCTTTCTAGGCACAGATATTGTCCTCTTGACTTCCATCTCCAGATAGGAACCGGTTGTACCATCTCTGCCTAAGAGGTCTGCAAGATGTTTTCACTGATTAAAGCTATCAAGTCATTTTTGACTTCTAGCAACCAACCTTTGCAACTGAGCCAAGTGAAATAGTGAAATGTGATGCTACTTAATCTTATGAAGATTAGCTATGTGCTCAGCCTTAAAAGTTAATGACTTTTTTTTTACAGAATTACACAATACATTTTCTTGGGGGTGTCTCTCAATGGAGATCAAAGCCTCCATACACCCCAAATCTTAATGACTTATTTAAAGTGGCTCCCAAAGTTTTAGGACATCGCAACACCATCAGGTGAGAGTCTCCAGGGGAGCCAGCTTCACTCCTGTTGGCCAGGGCTGCATCCAAGAGCACCCAGCATGTCTTGTTCATTCCTGAAGGAGGAAATTTTATATCTGCTAAGTGCTAAATGCCATGTTCCATAAATTGGCCTGCCCGGAAGTATCCATTAGATCACACAGAGAAAAAACTATGCAGCAGGGCCCAGAAATTGGGGTCTAAGAAAGAGGGTGTGATAATCTATATTTGGTAGAAATGTTTCCAAAAAGGATTTGTAAAAAAACAAAAAGCAAAATAGAATAGCCCATCAAACCACATGGCTAACTGTTCACCAGGCTAACCTTTTTAGAAGGACACTCTATAATGCCATTTTTAATGCAGACTTAATAAGATGTTGGTGGTGATGACAGCAGTATTCCAGTATTTGAGGGGCTGCCACAAAGGGCAGAGGGGAGAGGGTCAATTTATTAGCCAAAGCCCCAGAAGGCAAGACAAGAAACAATGGACGGAAACTAATCAAGGAGAGAAGCAACCTGGAATTGAGAAACTTCCTAACAGTGAGGACTGTCAGATGTAAATGCCTTATTCTCTAATGTGTAAATAGTGTACAGACAGGGTATCAGGGGTTAACTTATTCTTCACTTCTTAATGTATTCATAATTCACCACTCCCACATATAGCTCCACCCATTGTATATATAAGGAGCTACCTACACCCTTTCCCTTGCTTCTATCTGTGAATATTCAGTGAATATAGAATGCCTAATGTAAATAAAAGAATATATAGTTAAATCTTTAACTCTTGCTAATCTTATTGAGTCTGATCCTGAAAATATTGCAACAAATTGGTAGCAGAGGATGGTTTATTGACTCAATAAAAAACTTTAAAATGTCTAAGAAAGATAGGCCCAACACCAGGGCCTACAGCAAAGAAATGGAAACGGAACAAGAAATAATCAACGAATCCACGAATGCAATTTCGAGAGAATCCGAAGAATACACCACTGAAGACGAAGAAATAATTGATGACCAGGAGGAAATCGAAATAGAAAATAACGAACTCAGGTCAGAGATATTAAAACTATTAAAAAGCCAGAAGAATGATGAAAGCCTCATCGCGAACCTCCAAGATATGCTGAAGAACAGCGGAGCAGCGAGAGAGAAAAACATCACCAATGAAAAACCTAAAGATCCAAAAATAGTGAGTGATATGACTGCGGAGAAAATCATTACAAAGAAGAAAAACGATGATCCCGCGCGAAAATTTGAATGGCGGCCATCTTGGTTTCAACCGGCCTCCAAGATGAACGAAGCAGAACCAATCAGCAAGCTCAATTCAAAATTTCTGGCGCGAAAAATGTTATCAGACAACGAAAACGAAAAAGAAGATTCAAACACCTCAGAAGAATCAGAACCAGAAAGTGAGGAAGATCCAACAAAACACCAAATAAAATCAGCGATGAAAACGCTCTTTGCTGCATTTGGGCCAAAACTGAAAATTACTAAAAAGATGCCGAAAAAGCGAGCGAGCAAGCCAATGCCTCAAGACCTGCCCGCTCCCATCCTGACTACTAGAGCGCTGACGCCAGAACCCAGAGAGCCCTGCCGATACCGCCCTACGCCGCAGACCGAAGCAAGCACCAACGCTCTCAATAGAAGAGGAAGAACAGCCACCGTCGTCAGAACCCCCAAAGTCGAACCAGAGACCGACGACGCCGAAGAAGAAATGAGCAACGCGCATGCGCGAAACTACGCTGACGATCCGGGAAGACATGAACTGGAGAGAAGATCATGCAGACTCGTAGCGAGCATCCCCACGCCGTTTTGCAATTTTCTGCATTTACGAGACCACGGACTACCTCAGGTTGTAAGTAATGGACCCAATAATGTCGGAAATTTACCCAGTGACTTCCCAAAACTAAGGGTTGATGGCATTAATTTACAAGAATGGTATCAACAACTCCAGGTTGTCTTTATGAAGGAAAACTTACTGTTTTTTATCACTAGTCCCCCAAAAAGACCTTGGACACTAAAAATAGATTGTTTACACCATAGAGCTTTTTTCTTAATAATATCTAGTGTGTCTCCTGCAATGTATCACAGCATTAAGCCAAATTTGACTGTTTCAGAAATTATTCAATGCATGTTTAATTTGTTTCACAGTGACAGTGTAGCTACCACCACAAGGATATCTAAAGACTTCTTTTCATCTAGGATAAAACCAGGGGTTTCCATAAGTGAACATTTAATATCTTTAAACAAAATAAGAGCTGAACTGCATTTGAGGGGGGAGGTGATTTCAGACCAAACAATGAAAAGTGTTATTATCAACTCACTTGATCCATCATGGGACAATTTTATGTCACATTTAGACACAATCAATCTAGGATATTTATCCATAGAAAGTCTATCTAACAAATTGATAACAGAAGATAATTCTAGAAGGAATCGTTCTAACAATCACACAGAACATAAACCATATAGGAAAGTAGCTTTCCAAGAAAAATATAGTGGAACATTTAAATGTCATAATTGTGGATCCAGGGAACACAATAGAAGGGATTGCCCAAAATTCTTAAAAGAAAGATATAGATCAGAATACAGAAACAAATACGATTATAGACAGCCTTCCATAGAAAGGCATAGATATAGGAGCCCACCAAATCACAGAGAGAATAGAGGGGGCAGAGACAATTCAAAGGATAGAAAGTCTGGTTCACTGAATGGATTAAATAAACAAGACAACACTAACACACAACAAAGTGAGAACAATAATTGGCTTATTGATTCTGGAGCAACTAATCACACCACTAATAACAAAAGTATATTGTCTTCATTTGCAGAAGATAAATTTGTAATTAAGGTAGCTAACCAAGAAAAGGTTCAAGTATTAGGTAGAGGAAATGTAACCTTGCCTGGTCTAGGAAAAATAGAGGGGGTATTACTAATACCTGAAATACCTCATAACATATTAAGTGCCATAAAACTAAGCAGAGATTCTGACATTAACATTGTCTTTTCAAAAGGAAAGGCAACTTTGGAAAAGAATAAAATAAATGTAGGCACTGTGGTGACTAAAGGAGGCCTACCTTATCTGATAACAAAAGAAAAATGGTTACATAACATTGATTCAAATATGGAAGATTGTATTGAAATAGATGATGAGAATGTTAGCAACAGTGACAATGATGAATGTAAAATATCTCATGATCACACAGATGCACACAACGATAAGAAGCCAAAGATAGGTAAACCAATTCATGATGAGTGTGCTCACATATTGCATAGGAAGTTAGGACATGCCAGTTTTCCTGTAGTGCAAAAAATGACTGAACACGCAGAAGGTGTTAAAATAAAAAATTGTGAAAATTATCTGGAATGCTCAGTATGTAAATCTACAAAACTAAAAACTAGTCCCAGGCCAAGAAAATCTACCAGATCAACTAACAAAATTTTTGATTTAGTACACATGGACTTAGTTGGTCCATTAACTCCATCAATCACTTATAGAAAACGTTACTTCCTGACAATAGTGGACGATTATAGCCGCTATGGATTTGTTTATACATTAAAACACAAAGATGAAACATTTCAAAAATTTAAAGAATTTTACAAACGCATAGAAACACAACACAACATCAAAATAAAACAAATTATGACAGACAGAGGATGCGAATTCATGTCTAAAGAATTCTCACAATGGTTAAAAGACAAAGGAATGTTACATTACACATCTAGTCCATTTTCTGCGTTCCAAAACGGGATTGCAGAGAGAAAAAATTCCACATTACAAACCATGATTAGATGCACATTGGAAGATGCTGGCTTAAGCAAACAATTCTGGTCAGAAGCCTTACATTATTCAAATTACACACAAAATAGAACATGGTCCAGCATTGTAAATAAGACACCATATGAAGTGATGTATAATAGAAAACCAAAATTAGCACACATGCATATATTTGGAGTCACAGCAGACGTACACATACCTAAACAATTAAGAAGAAAGGGAGAAAATGTGTCCAGAAGACTCAGATTTATGGGATATGAGACTGGCACTAAAGGATACAGATTCATTGATAGTAACAACAAATTTATAGTCTCCAGAACAGCTGTGTTCCATGAACAAGCTAACCGGTCTAAATTACATCTTAATGAGATATTCCCAAATAAACATGAAGATACAAAACCTCATGAGAAAGGGACTATAGAAAAGCAAAATATCAACAAATATAAAAACAAAAACAAAACTTGGACAAATAGCCAACACAAAATAAAGACAGACACACTAACAAAAAAGGAAGCAAGATATTTGCATGATAACGATAGTAAACCCGAAAAAATCATTAGAAACACCAGAAATCAAATGCCAAATAAATACAAGGATTATGTAATGCACATGGATGGTGAACCAACAACACCCAATACATACGAGGAAGTGTTAAAACTTCCTCACGAAGAAAAGGAAAAATGGGAATTAGCAATGAAGAAAGAGATGGAAAGTTTACAAAGACTAAATGTATTTACACCTGCA